TGCAGAAATAGGCCATTTGTTATTGCTGTGTTTTCACTCAGAGATGGAGTGTGTGAACTAGATTTAGGCCGTTCTGTTCACTTCTAAGCATCAAAACTTCCTGCCCCAAACCAACCCTTTTGGAGTTAGTTTTAGTAATTGTGCTCAGTAGCCTGTTTTCTCTCTTTAATCCAATGACAAAGAAAGAGGAATGATGGAAATGAGAAGCGAGCAGAGAGGAGGAAAAGGCAACTGATGCTAAGTGGGGTGACCCATGTGTGCTGTGGCATCAGCCATTTGCATGTCCTACAGTCAAATGGGTGATGGAACAATGCTGCATTAAATGTGACCTTTCTGAAGGGAGAACCTGTCTGAAGTGAATAATCAAATTAGACCTGCATTTGACACGCTTCAATTGGAGATCTTTTGGTTAAAATGCATAATCAGTAAGGGAGAATCTTGATGTTTGGAGACGCAGAGTACCTTTAATGTGCAAAACAAACAACAGAGAGTGTTCAGACAGAGAAAGATCGGAGTGTGTTCTGTTACTGGATCTCCTCTTTTGCTTTAACCTAGTTCTTAAGGACAGCCCTGTCTGGTCTGTACCTAGCACAGTGTTTCTGTCTCTGTGTGAAAGGACTCGCACTGATTCCTTGTGATCCAGATTTTTAGGTTCATCAGTATTTGTGTGGATCCTTCCCAGTGGAAACCAGCATAAGAGGGCTGACTGCTGCCTATTCCTCATTTTCTCCAGCAGCATCAGCAGAGACTTAGTCTATACCGCCTTATGCAGAAGCAAGAGCACTTGGCAAAGAGAGGTAATGCTGGCTGAGGGAATATTTCCTATGGGAATGAAACGGGCCATACAGATCGTCTCTCTCCCCAAGGCCTCCATGTATCAGTGTATCACTCTGAGCCTAGTCTGCACTGCAGCCTGGGTTTACAATAGGAAACAGCTGTCTGATTCAGTGCCTGCTGGCTTGGTGCCTGCCTCCTAGTACTCCAATTTTTGCTATGGAGGGCAAAATGTACAAAATCCTCTGTCGCTGGAAGAAAAGCTCTCACCAGCCTGAAGTGCGAGAGCTTAGCACTGCTGCTGCTGGCAGTATGAGCGCCTTCATGAGGACATAATGCTCTGCTTTTGCTGTGGCTCTGCCTTCCTCTTTACCCTTCCCCTCCTAGCAGAATCCCATACTCTTCATTCACACCTCCTCTGTGCCAGGATTATCTGTACACGTTTCTGCCCTGGTGGGTTCCATCTGCTTATTGTTCTACCTTCTTCCTGTATCTGGCCCTTTCCAGCCTCCTTTTCCCTATCTTCCCACCACACACTGTTTTGATACTGTTTTTGTTTGTTTTTCTTTTTTCCCTGTGCTTTTTCCCATGCTGTTCTTTCCTTCTTGTCCATTATTTGCCTAGAAAGCAACTCATGCAGAGTGTCAACATATCAGCATGGAAAGGGATCCACCCATGCCCCTTTTTCTTTTATTTTTTTCTTCCACTCTGCGCTTCTGATTTCCTTCCAAAACTAATGGCTACTCATGTTGGAATAGTCCCCGATGTTTTGAAATTGTCAGATCTGGCTCTGAGAAGTTACTGAGACAGAAATGCCTTCATAATGTCTCTGCCACGCAGTACATCTGTTTTTGGGATGCATGTGAGATGTGCTCTCTAATAGGTCTTGTCCATAGTACATCTCAGTGTGGATGACATACTGCCAGATTTTGGAGACTAAGGCACAGGTCCCAAAGGTTAGATGCCAAGTTCCCACTAAAATTAATGGCTGAAGATGTGGTTTAGAGCAGTACTGGAAAGCCAGTAGCTGAAAACTGGACATAGTGTATAATGACTTTGCTCAGTACTGACATAAAATCTGTTTTGTAGAGTTTTCTTAGTTGCAGCTACTTTGGGACAAATGGCACAATTTTCTACATGCTAGGAAAAAGAAGCATATCATTCTTAGAGACTCAGTTATGAAGTGGATCCAAATATGAACACCCTGTAGAAGATTCTAAAGCTGCATTAACTTGGTGAAGGGCAGCTGCCAGCAAAGCCCGGTGAAATCAATTAATAGTCGCTTGACAAAGCACGTGAAATAAAATTTAGTGCTGAGCTGGGGCAGCAAATGTGCGATGGTGCTTTTGACATACAGGAATTCAACTAGGTGCAGATTCCAGGTGTGAACCAAGCAGTATGTGACAGCCATTCCACTGTATCGGGCTGCCACAGTGTGTTGTGCTGGCTGCTGTGTTGAAGCAGAGTTCTCCCTGCCCGGAAAAAAGAGCGTATTCATTTTGGCATCATAAAATGATCTGCAGCCATTGCCAGGACTTTATCTGTATTTAACCATGAGCAGCAGTGGGTGTTGCTGATAAGTCATGAACGCTCACAGTGTACGTACTGCTGTGATCTGCTCGATTTACTCTTGGCCTTGACACTCAGAGGCCTTTCCAAACACACAGCAATTAAGTCTTTTCGATGCATAGTGTATTCCAGTCATGTAGAATGTGTTCACAGAGCCCCCAGGGAGCTTGTGGTTTAATCACTGTATTTACATGGCATTGACTCAATATTGTACAAGCCGCATAAGGCAGATGGGTTCCACCTGGAGGAATGAACGGTTTCAGGGACTGCACAGTGTGACAGTCCATCTGAACACTCAACATTCTAGCTAATCTCTTCCTCCCTCTCTGTTTTAAAAATATTTCTGCCTAAGTATCAATTCATACAGTGGTGTTTTTCCTTTGTACTCCTGTGTTACATTAGGTTACATAGTAGGACAGTACGGACTGATATTAGTCTAATTAAATATGTCTTGATGGCTTAGGAATTGGTTTGATGAGGAATGACCTGTGTAGTTTTATGGCTTTTTTTTTTTTTTAGAACAAAGTATGGTGAGTGGTTTATAAAAGCATCAGTCTTAAATTATAAGAAATATTGAAAAAGGAATTTTAACCATAAACAGAGTTTAAAAATGAAATTATCCTCAGATTCTTTCAGTTTTCAGATGCTTTGATCTGGAGGTGATCTTCACTGTCTGAAGGTCTGGTAGTACTCTTAGTGGTATGTCCTGAATTCTGTGCCAGGTAGATGTGCCAGAGGACATTGGTTTTGCTTCTCTCCCTTTTTTTATACTGCTGTAAAAAGACCTCTTAAGCTGCACTGATTGGATATATGGTGCTTTCCTTTTTTCAAGAAGAATAATGCATCTGGAAAAAGTTAGGAAAATTATATGGCATATGTGACATTCGACGTTTCCCCCTTATTTAGGAAAATTTTTCTCATTTGGCAATGTGGGATAAGATGGGTGAGGATGCTTGTACCCATACTCTAGCTTTGTCTTCTTTCAGCAAAGAAAGTGGCACTTTCATGTATCGTGGGCATGAAGTAGATAGGGTTTGTTTTTTTCCTGGCATGAAATTCATCACCAATGCATAAACATTTGAAGTACAATCCTTTTTCTACTGCCAAAAACACAGAAGTAGCCTCAGTTTATATTAGATCACTGTTGCATTCAGTGCACAAATGTTACAGTGAACAATGTGCTAACCTTTTACCAGGGCTAGAGATGTTTGTGTTGCTAAAAGGCCTATGTTTTTTTTTCTCCCCAGGGTATTTTGCAGAATATCTCCTTATTTTCTCTTCTTCACCATTTATCTATCTCACTAGTTACATTTTGTGAATTCAAAGCCTCTGTGCTAGATGACACATTAAACTCAGATTGGTGCCAGGTTTTATAAAGCTCTTTTGGAGACAGATTTCTTTCTCCTTTGCACATGAAGATGTAGTGGTGTTTACTTCCTTGTCAGTGAAATGCAGTTGAGCAGCACTGTCATCCTGGCAAGGATTACAGTGATAATAGACCACACAACGCTCCTGAACCAAAAGCAAATTCTGATTTTGCCTAGCTATAGCATCAGCAAAGACTAACTTTGTGTGAAATGCATGTTTTGGCTGTGGCACAGTTCTGTTTGTTCTCATTCTCACTACAGTCAGAACTGAATTCATACATCAGGGAGAAAAATGGAAGGAAAAAACAAACCAACCCATTGGAGAGCTGCTCTCTGTCAGCTGCTATCACTGCTTACCTGCACTCTATTATCCTCAGCTGTGTTTTCCAGTTGCTTGTTCCTATTAGGTAAGTGCATGATCTGGGAGTGTTTGTACTGGAGTCAAGAACCCTGGCTAATGGACCAATGATCTTTTACTCTGTCATGCTGCATTTTTATTCCATTTTTGATGTGCTTTCCCTCTCTTTCTCCACAACAGCTTTCTTTAAAGAGTCATTTGTAGGGAACACATTTCCCTAGTAAGTGTTTTAAACACATCTTTGCAAAGGAGTGAGATAATAAAGGATCTCATTCTGCTCCTGTAATTCGGAAACATGCATTAAATCCCACTCGGTCCACAAACTGACCTCCAGCAGTTGGAGTAACTGTTGGAAGACAGAGAGTTCAGCAGGTAAATGAACAGCTAGGAACATGTGGAGGGCTTGTTTCTATATTCATTGCCATAAGGAGAGGTGAGAGGAGGCTTTGACTGTAACCTGATAGTGCCTTTGTACTTTGCCTTTGTCCCTGACCATATGATATGAAACATGGAGCAGTGCAGCTGCAGACACCTGTCTTCTGGCATTGCCCTTGTTTTGTTTTCTCCTCATCTGCCAAGGAGGGCCATGCTTTTCTTACTATATAAATTTCTCCTTTAGAATGGATTTTAACCATGTGATAGGGTTAGTCTTGCCACAGTAAAGCCTCCTGGAGAGCATAATAGGTCTCCCAGCACTAGATCAAGGCAGTGCCAGCTTAGGAGCATTCCCGCATAGAAGGGGATCCTCCAAAACAAAGCTGGGTTATCTGTCTTCTGTGTCTTGTGATTACTCATTGTAACTTGGAATGAAGCAAATTGGTGGTGCAAATATAGCAGGGATACAGAAGCACTTGGAAGTGCTAGCAAATCAACTGGTAAGAAGAAGGGAGAATATTGGAAAGGACAGCAGTGCTCAGAATGGGCTGTGTTGCTTTGCTCTCTGAGAGGCTATAGTAAAAGTGCAGAGGTGGAGGCTGTTAGTTCCCCCAGGATAATAATCCATTGTTTTACTGTGATTCCTGTAAGAGGAAAGTGAATAGCAGAAGGACTAGAAAAGCAAGATGTGTCTGATTTCCCCATATTGCACTTTCCTTTCTACACGCATTCTCCTTACTCCCCCTGGAACCAGGTTTCATGTTCCCACACACAAGGCTTAGTCATTTAGAAGAAAATTAGATCAAATGCATTTTAATTTATAATTTGAGAAGTGAAATGATTAGGGAAAAGAAGCCAATTTATTAGAAAACAGGTTTGTCCTTTAAAATATTGCAGAAGTGAAGTACAAAGGTTCACACAGCAGATTGGTTTTCTGTATCTCAGAGGCAGCATAAGTACAACCTATGATGTAAATGTTACTATAGTAACTCGTGTTTTTATTTAAGAGCCCAGTAAATTGACATATCAAACCCATAGAACTTGTAAGAATGTAAGTTAAACCGCAGAGCCTGATGGTTGAAAGAACATCTTTCTTGGCTGAACTTTTTTTTTCTGCAATTTTCCCCCCGAATGCACTGAGCGTTTTCTTGCAGCCAAATTGCAATTTGGCACTCAGGAAGCAGGCTTTGCTAATAGTCACAGCACTAATTACCTGGGACCTCACATGCAGCCTTTCCTCTCAAAAGGGCGAAAGTTTCCATCTAGTTTAATGTCCTCTAGACTTCTCCTTCTGCCTCCCCCAAAAGCTTCACAGCTAGAGCTGTCCAACTGTAAAACAAATTAGGACTATATTATGAACTATAATGTATTCCTTCCTCCTGATGGAGCTGCACAGCAGAGTCCCTTGAGAAGCCGGCTGCACTCAGTGCTGCTCTGCTCTCCTCTTCCCATTTGCTGCAGCCACTGCTCCTCACCCAGTGCTGGCCAGGCCTATGTCAGAGCTCACTGTCCCCTGAGACTTCAGTGCTGCTCTATCCAATCTGCATTGTGTGCTTTCATTATGAGGTAATTACTGTCTTGAATAAACTAAGAACCGTGCCTCGTGAATGTCAAGGATATATTCTGCTCTTTGTGCTTGCTTTTTCCATTTTGAAATCTTCCTTATGTTTGCCAGCATAAACTCGTGTTAGTTTGTCTGGAAAATGAGCAAGTGTGGGTCCTTGCTATGCAATCTGTAGGTATGTATCTTGTGTTGGACAAGGACTGCTTTGTGGTTATATTGCTTGCATGTTGAGGGCTGATTGCTGGGAGGAAGGCCATGTTGTGCCATTTGATGGAGCTTGGTTCCTAAAAGATCACACCCAGAAGCATTCTGGGGACTTGACAAGCTCACCTGGCTCTTGCAGGGGTTGGGGTGCAGCCCCACCTGTCAGCTCCACTTTCTGAGCAGGGGGTTGGTGTTCTTCAGGCTTTAAAGATGTGGGATATGTCTTGCAGGGTTTCAGTCTGCTGGAAGGGTGGCATTTGGGAAGGAGATGTGAGGGGAATGCGCCTCTCAGATGTGCTTTTGGAATGGCTGCCAGGAGGAGCTGAGCTCCCAGGCAGCTGAAGGCAGAGTGCTAGCAGGTGGCTGCAAAGCTCAGAGCCAGGAAGGAGGAGCTGCCTGGCTCCTAAATGGGAACAACTAGCTTAAAGCTGAGGAAGAGAACTGTAATACAGCATGAGATGATCACCTGGGGAGCAAGGGCATCAGCTGGAGGATCTGGCCAGGGCAGCCAGGAGCAGGGGGTAAGGCTGTTACAGCTTGGGACAGGGCAGGGGGAGACTGCAAGCTGAGCTTACATCCTGTAAGCTGGTGCTGTAGGAAAAAGCAAAAGCAAAATGCAGCACACTGAAGATGTGGCTCTGTCTCCTTGATAACCTCCATGCCGGTATTGGTGCATTGATGCCTCCAGAAGATGGCATTTCTCCCACAAGAATAGCTGTAATCTGTAAGTAGTTTTAGTATTCTTTGTATCGTTGCTTCAGATGGACTTACCTCATACACTGGGAGGCAGTTAACAGAAGTAACACAAAAGCTTAAAAGCACCAGAAAACAAAAATCTAGAAACCTGATGTGTCTGTTGGTTTGAATTATTAATGTGTGGAAGAAAAGCATGATGTGAAAGTGGGCAATTTGTTGTGTATGAATCAAACTTTTTAAGACTTCTCTCATTAATAATTTCCAAAGTATTTCTTATCCTCAGACACCAGTTTTGTGTAATTTCTGTCTATATGACTCACTGAATTACTTCATCCCCTGTCACTATTTTCTTGTCTCAAAAGCTTCCATAGAAGATGGCAATAGCAGTTTATGCCGTAATCCGCATCGATTTAGGTCTTTATAGAAGGAATGAAGCATTGGAATGAAGAGATTTTTTGTGAGTATCTACAATATGCCATAGAGCACCAGCATCCTGAAGGCAATTCTTACATTAGCTTGGCAGTGATTTCTTCCCTTTGCTTCTGTATATTTCCATCAGGTGTTCAGTAACACCCCTAGGTTCACTACAGACTGCAGCAGCAGCCCTGGGCTCCACCAGCCATGGTATGAATACTGGTGCTATGGGAATGGTAGTGAAGAGCCTAGAGAGTCAGGTCAAAGCTCTGTTGAATATTAGCCTATCTGTTTCTTAAGGTTTTCAATTGTTTCTTGGTATCATTTTGTTGTTTCTTGTTTGCTTTTGGGGATGAGGACCATCCACTGACAGTGAATTCATGGAGTATCTAAAACATGAATTTTACTCGAAGTTTTATGGTTAATGGAACTTCTGCAGAGTGAGGCAGTTGCCCATTAACATTCAGTTTAACCCAAAGAGAGAACTCGGTAACTATTTGTCAATAAACTACATGGATCTGCTTCTCACAGTAGGATTAATACCCTTTTAGGTTCTTGTGCAATGTGTCAGAGATGGAGATGCATTTTATTATTTCCTGCAAAGACGTGTGAATGCTGCTTCTCTATTTCTTGTAGGCATCTGGATTCTGAGATACATTCTCTGCTGACAGGGGCAGTTCGCTATCCAAAGATAAGCCTGTCTTATCCTGCCATCACGTGAGATAAAGATACATGTTTTATCGATTATTTTTTAAAAAGAGATCAATTCATACTACACAGAGTCATTAAAAAGCTCTCTTAATGCTGGCATGAAATGTCTGAGAGTGAGTCTGGGCTCTGAGATGGCTGCTTTACTGCCAGCATCTCTGCTGTTAGCTGCTGGGGTTCATTCCTGTGTGCCTCTGAGGCCAGTCACTGTCAGTTGGGTTCAGACAGCACACTGTGAAGGATCCCATCCTGGGAGGGAGCACCGGTGCTCAGGTGACTGCAGTTGTTTCTCAGGTTCAAAGCAGCCTTCTTGTCCTAGAATCAAATAATCAGTGGGAACATCTGAATAACAGGGTGGAGTTATTCTGCTCTAAAGTAGAATGGTGTCTCTTGGACTACCATTCCTAAATTAATGTTGTTATTTTTGCATTGGTCTGGAGAAGAAATTTCCAGTGAAGGAGGAGCATTGATTATCTGCTTGTGTTTTATCATGCTGTGTCCACTAAAGTCTATCCAACTATCCTTTCTTCTGGTTACAGTACAACATTATTATTATTGTTATTTTAAACTAAAAGCTTAGTTTGTTAATATAGTTAATGCCAATTTACTGTATCAGTCGAAGGACAGGTCTGTAATATCTATACAGCTGTGTGGATGAATCTTTCAGGGGGAGGGAATGCTTTTTGTTCAGAGTATGTTGAATCATTGCCTCCTGCAATTTTAAATGTGCGCTGAGTGTTGTGGAGAGCATTTCTGCACCTATTCAAAAAGTGAAGTCTAATGCTGTTTGTGATCTTAATGGAGCAGCAATGTTTTGGTTGGCTGATGAGACTGGATGCTTGTGAGGAGGTGCAGAGAGATTAAATGCAAAAGACCCTTGCAGCAGCAGTGAGTTATTGATAACATCTCCTTATGGAGGCTGCACTCATCTTGGCATTAACTTAATAACAAAACCAGACTTTTCACTTCTAGGAGTCATTAAATCATTAAGAACAACTTCAGATCCACACACATGATATGCTTTTACATAGTACAGCAGTATTTGATTTTCTGTAGTGGTTCCACAGTCAGTCTCTTTCACCTGTTCAAATACAAGTTGGTTAATCTGGCAGGAATGTTAATATGTTGGATAAATTAGAAGGGGGGAGAAAGAAATAGAGGCCAAAACCCATGCAATAAACCCAGAGGGTGCTTAAGCCTGACAAATGTAACCTGGTAGAACTGAAGCTGAATGTCTATCACTTTTTCTAGCTCTTTCAGAAGCACGCTTGCTCCATTTGCCCAAAGTTGCTAGGATTCGGTGTGTTCCAGGTTGCTGCATCTTTATTCAGAACTGTGCCCTCAGAAAAGGGTTATGTTTAGATTTCTGTTGGCACTGTCGGGGGAGATGGCTGGAGCATTTTGCCTCAGCAGAGCAGGAAAACACATCTTATTTGTACTTGTTGGTTGTTTTTTTTCCCTTACTCTTGAGCAGAAAGCTTGCAGGTTTTTCTACAAATTTAGAAGAGTCTCAGTTGCTGGACTCAGCAAGACTGGTATTGCAGTGGGTATCTGTATGTGAGACTGCCAGAGATCACAATCATTTTCTTGTTGTGAGAGGTCAGGGTACTATCACTGAATGCAATGACAGTCCAGTGTGACTGGTGGAAGGGAAGGGATGGCTTTAATCCTTCATTATTTAAATTAATAAATAAACCTCCAAGGCTATGTAACATTAAGTGGTTTTATTCTCTCTGAAGCTTTACCTGCAGTTACTTGTGTCTTGTTCTCAGTCACATAGGTCCCTGCAGTTTTCTCATGTGTTTTGCAAAAGCACTTGGAACTTGGTATTTCACAGTGTTTTGTTGATCAGTGTGTAACTCTTCAAAAGGCTTCTGGACCTTTGTTGGTTTCACAGTAGTTCAAAAAAGAAAATCTGAGGTAAAAGGTGGGGGCTGGGAGAAAATAAGTTTAATTGTTGTTTTCATTTTTGCTTTTATTTATGGAAAAGACTTTGTCCTAAGCAAGCTGGGGAGGAGTGGTCAACATTAAATCATAGATGGGTTGGGCTGGAAGGGACCTTTTAAAGATCATCTGTGTCTAGTCCAACCCCTGCTACAGGCTGGGTCATCTTCTATAAAGTATTCAAATAGACGGAAAGGGATTTAAAGCCAATAGGCCCTCTGTCAGCAGTTCACAGGTCGATGGAGTGTAGGTGGGGTTGTTGTTCAGGTTACGCCTGGCATCTAAAATTCATTAGTATTTTCAGTAAGTACCTGAATAGTTGAAAAGTGCATGTATATTATTACTCTTTGGATAACAAAATTCTAGGTACAGTTGCAAACACTTTAAAGAACAGGATTAGGATTTGAAGTGATTGTGACAAATTGCTGAAATGGTCTGAAATCAATAATAAATAATAAATAAAGACACCTGCAAGATATTTAAAGTAATTAACTGCACAAGCAGAAGCTCTGCAGAAAGGATGTGAGGGTTAGGGAGATGGGCAAACCAAGGCTGAGTCACCAGAACTGCACAGCTGGGAGGGGAAAAAAGCAAACTCTGCATGGGATGTGCGACAGGATTGTCTTGTGCAGAAGTGAGGTGATCCTTCCCCTCCAAATAGCAATGGCTAAGATGTCAGCTGGAGTACTGCCTGCAGCTTTGGGCATCCCTCTTTAGGAGCAGGTCTGAAGGAGGGAGGTCTGTGAGCCCTAGCTGGTGTCCAGAGAAGGTGGTACGTGATGTTGTTTTGCATCTGCCATCAGCTCTTTTCTCAGACAGCTCCTTATTCACGTGGACGGTGAAGTGCTGGAGGGACAAATGGGATTTACTCCACTCTTAAAAAGTCAGTGAGCAGGTAATGGATGCAAACAGTACAGCAGAACTTTGAGTTCAGCTCTCAAGGAAGTCTCACTGGTAACAAAGAAATCTGAGACTAAAATAGTCTGTCTAGCTTATTTTATCTACTTTTCTTTTTCTTGGAGGCACAAAGCTGAATAATCATTCTTTTCTTAAACTTATTAAACTCTCACTTACACTGTTTCTTTTTTTTTTTGTCCTGTTTTCCTATTGGAGGTTGTTCCAAAAATGAGTTTTCTTCTACTGGCCGTGACTCAGATCTTAATAAATGTTTTTGTGGTGGGCTTAAGCCTGCCTGGTTTTGTGGCAATATTGTCCTGTGCTTTAAATGGTTGCTAATTCCTTCTCCTTGGGATTTACTCCCCAGCTGCTCACCAGGCTCCTGTTATTTTGTCTGTACGTCTTAGAAATCAGATGTTACCATGCTTCTGTATGAAAGAGGAGAGCATTATAGATTCGTTCTTAACTATTGCTGTGCTGCTGCTTTACAAATGGGGTTAAAAAGCAGCACCTGGGACTTGCAATTTCACTGCTAATTCTTTGTAATTCTGTTTCCATATCTGAGCATTCTCTGTCCCACAGCTTTATTATGTTACCTTTAGCTTCCTTTCCCTCCTGCTACTAATGCTACAGTCAACATTGCTATCTTTATGGCCAACGAAGGAGATTCTGTATCTAACGCGGGGTTATAGCAAGTTTGCAATCTCTGCAGTTGCAGTTTGCTGTAAGGAGGCTATCTCCAGTCAGTTTGCTGTAAGGAGGCTATCTCCAGTCAGTTTGCTGTAAGGAGGCTATCTCCAGTCCGGGATCTAATCTCTCCTCGAGCTGTTTGCTGTATTTCTTCCAAGCTTCCTTCGGTTGGCTTTCTCGCTGTAGCTTTACTGACTTCTGGCACGGACTCCCGTCAGAACCTCTTGGTGCATATTCGGATCTGATACTGGGAGAATTTCTCCTCCGAAGAACCGCCCGGGGTGGGGGGTCACCGTCCGTGGGGCTGCGATGTGGCGCTGAGGCACCGCGAGGGCGGGACGGCGCTAAGTAGGTCAGCGGGGCCGGGAGCGCCGCCCGGCCGCCTGCGCGTCCCCCTCGCTCGCTTCAGGATTCAACTTTCTCCTCAGCCCCTCGCCGAGCCCGGAGAAATTCAGTTTAAACACGTAGCGAACACCCCAATGCGAGGCTCTCCGTGCCTCAGGAGGGGCGGGGCGGGGCGGGGGAGGCTCGGGCAGCGGGCGGAGCGGCCGGCCCGGACTGACTTCCAGCGCTGAGGGAGCGGAGCGGGGCTGTGAGCGTAACGACTGGCCGTGTGGTGATCGCGGAGCGGGGCTGTGAGCGTAACCGTTGGTGCGGCGGTGGCGGAGCGGCGGCTGAGCCGTGCGGGCGGGTCGGGCGGGAGGCGCGCCGCTGTGAGGGAGCGGGCGGGTCGTGAGGGAGCGGGCGGCTCCCGTCTGGGTACGTCCGTCTGGGTTTTGAAGTTGTTCCTTGGTAAATTGCTGTCGCTCAAGGCTTTGATCTTGCAGCTTTTAGTCACTTTTGTGACAAACAAAGGTGTCCGGGCTGCGCAGCCCGATGTTGAGACCCACCTGGTGGTTTAGAAGGGAGAAATGCAGGAATAAAAGCTGTCGGGACAAGAGGCTGAAAAAAGGGGCGGCTCCAGAGGGAAGGGGCAAACGCCAGAGTGTTTGCTGAGCAGGGCTGGTGGGCGCAGGCTGTGCTGGGGGTGTTTGCGCTGTGCTGCTCCTCAGCAGCCCGTAGCAAATGATCTTGGTTTTGTTACTTGCTGGTCGATGTTTGCTGTTTTGTATTTAACGGGCTGTTGTAATCAAGGTAGGAACTCTCCTTACTGAAGGTTTTACACATTGGTTAGCATAGAAATCATAGAATCACGGAACGGCCCGGGTTGCAAAGGAGCACAACGCTCACCCAGTTCCAACCCCCTGCTGTGTGCAGGTCACCAACCAGCAGCCCAGGCTGCCCAGAGCCACATCCAGCCTGGCCTTGGATGCCTGCAGGGATGGGGCATCCACAGCCTCCTTGGGCAACCTGTTCCAGTGCCTCACCACCCTCTGGCTGAAAAACTTCCTCCTCATATCCAACCTAAACCTCCCCTGTCTCAGTTTAAAGCCATTCCCCCTTGTCCTATCACTATCCACCCTCACAAACGGCCATACTCCCTCCTCTTTTATACACTCCCTTCAAATATTCATGGAGAGGAAGAGTATGAAACCGGAAAACTGCTGCGCAGCATCAGCAAAGCTGGTGGTTTCAGAATGCAGTATTTTAAGACTTTCATTGCTTTCTGATCCCATGCAGCACTGGTTCTTAGCTGTGAATTGTGAGTTATGAATACTGTTGAAACCAGAGTTTAAGAATGTGTTTGTGATACCAACTTTGATCAGTGCAGTAGAAGCAGAAAAAGTGTCTCAAGCTGATCCAGACTACGTTTTTTGTCTTCTGGCCCAAATATTATGATTGAATTTGTGCTGATAATAGAATCTTTTTTGAATTGCTTTATCTGGATGTTTATGTGGCAGAGAGGGTAGCAATGCAGTGCACCTTCCCCGAGGTGCATGTTGTTTTGGACATCTGCAGTTGCTCTTTTTTTTCAGTCTCTGGTAGGTATTGCAGGGTTGAAATTAAAACAAGCTGCTATTGACACAATTAACTAATTGCTTTCTTAAATCAGGGGCAAACTAGAGATGGTGTTTCACTCATGCTTCGCATCCTTATTTGCAGTGGTACAATGAATTATCACTAGTTACCAAAATAGTAGTTCTTTAAGCATCTAGGAGCAGTAGGGCCAAGGTATCTGGGCTGCCAAGGTATCTGGGCTGTAGCTTTGCCTTCTTCCAGTGCTTACAATGGGAGGACAAGTGATGGACCATAATTTGATGAGTTAGTTAGAGCTTTCATTGGTGGACATTCTCTGCTTGTATTCAAAATGAGGTATGCAGTAAAATCCATGACGTACTGATGACTTTATAACCTCCTTATATACATATCTGATTTTCTTGGATGACGTATGGAAGTGATCTGTCAGTTTGCTATTGAGAATGGTTGAGCTGTGAATTACAAATTTTTGTTTCACCTGTAAAAGAGGAGAAAATGCTGAGCTTTAATTAAACCATAGGCTTAATCATATAACAGTGTGTCCTTATGCCAAGTAAATAGTTCTGAAAACTGATTTTTTTCTTCCAGTCAGAAACTTGAGGGAAAAAAAAATAGGTTCTTTTGTAGGCTTTTGGAAATAATCACAGCCTGTATCTTGGTGAAATGGCAGACTTAATGAAGGCTGTAGCCAGCACAGTTCCTCTGGCCTTCATGACTCTTATTATGAAATAGACTAATGGAGGATGTACAGGTAAGGCTAGCCTGATAACAGCACTACTGAGAGGCACATTTTCCTCTGCAGTAGGGGGTTGTGAAGCACTGCCTTTGAAATTCTGAGCTTTCCTCTTTAATTGACCAAAATGTAGCTGAAAATGTAGTCTGATAACCTGACTGAATGAGCAGAGAAGTGGGTGGGCCTGCCTCATCTCACAGACCAACATGGAGCTGAAGAAATGGCTTGGCTCCGGCTGCAGTTGAGTTTCCAAGGGCTTAGATTCACAGCAGTGCCTTTCAAACTACCAAGCCTGGTAGGTGAGCAATAGTCAGCCTGGAGGAGTAAAGTACTACCTAGTTTTAATGATGGAAGAGGAGCTGCGCTGGTGGTTAATTGATATACTAAGCAGTGTTAATGAGTTTTATTCTCAAAGGACATTTTGATTTGTTGTTGCTTTCTGTTATAAATATGTGAATAATCAAGTAAATGAAGTTCGCTGTAATGAAACTCTAATGATAATTATCATTCTCAGTTAATTTTCTTTGTAATTTTCAGACCAGCTCTTCAAAACAAGATGTGTCATCAAATCATTCTGACCATGTCTGTGCTCTTGGGTAAGTTACTGCCAACAGTGTGAAAAGTAAGTGCTGACAATTGTGTAGAATGAAGAGTTATCTCTGCTTTTGTTTTAAAGAGCTGTTTCAAATCATAATGCTGTGTTAGTATCACAGTATGCAACTAGAACATGTAGAGGCCCTGGTTTATTGTTGTGCAGGATTGAAATGTTGGCACTCTCGGGGTCAGTCTTTGTGTCCTATCCCTAAAAGCAGTGCATTTGATGGGTAAGATCAGAAAACATCAATAGAATGAGTCTGGTGAGTCAGAATGCATTCAGATAAATGCCTCAGTTGAACTTGGCAACTTGTTCTGTTACCTTAGCAGTACAAATGCAGAAAGGAAAATCCAAGTTCCCTCAGAACTGCAAAGTAGCTCAGTGTAGCCAAGGTGTAACTTTGAGTTTGAGCTTTGCTTTTCTAGGTGACTGGCGTTCTTGCTTTCGTGAGCACTGTGTTGTTAAAGTTGCTCCATCTGCTGTAAATGTTGATGACTATAATAAGCTGTTTTTCTAATTGAGAAGTGTCCATACCAATATTGGTGTATGCTGTTCAGGGACAGCCGGTATTTTGGTATTTGTCTTTTCTTTTTTCTTTTTTTAATTTTAAATTGAAAAAGGAGTCATTTCATAGAATCACAGAATGGCCTGGGTTGCAAAGGAGCACAGTGCTCATCCAGTTCCAACCCCCTGCTGTGTGCAGGTCACCAACCAGCAGCCCAGGCTGCCCAGAGCCACATCCAGCCTGGCCTTGGATGCCTGCAGGGATGGGGCATCCACAGCCTCCTTGGGCAACCTGTTCCAGTGCATCACCACCCTCTGGGTAAAAATGATGATGGTTATGGACAAAGCAGATGCTACAATCCAATGATGTTAGTTTCAAAATTCTTCTTCATGAAATATGAAGAATTCCTTAGCAATATCCTTACCTTTATTCAATCAGTATTAAATATTATCTTGTTGACTAATTCTTCTTTTAAAAGCCTTATGTAATCTAAAGATGTTGTGTACCTTTTAATTAGAAAACCTGGATGCCTCAGGAGTTTTCATTTGGTTTCAGAGCTGTTTGTCACTGACTGGTGGCCTGTAATGATTGGCACATTGGTTCATCTATTGACTGGCCATCTCCCTGTTTCCAAATAAAAAAATAGCCATGTTTGGCATCTTTATAGCCCTCCTAACCCAGGCATGCCACTAATCGAGAGGTTAAACTGTATGCGATGGCCTCATGTGCATCCATGGTGTGGAGAACTGGTTGAATCTGTAGCAGGAAAGCATTTTATTAACAGGCAGTTAAGAGCGATAGCAATCTTATGCTGACCATTCTGTACTGTAATTTGTTACAGATGTTTGTTTTGTTTTTAATACACCAGCAGAAATAGTAAGTAACTGCATATGATGGGATGTACTTAATCCTGTGACACTGATGTGCCATGAGAGAGGAGAGTCTGCTTTTAGGAAAAAGAGTGACATGGCACGAATCTCTCCTGGTCTCTCAATTGACTCTGTGATTTGGGTAGTATGTTAGTTAACTGTCCTGTTTTGTAGGCAGTTGTGTTACTTATTTGTTCATTTTAATCATGTATTATGGACTAATAATCTGCGTGGTCAACTGTATCCTCTACATGGAGCCAGGAGCCTAATGAAGTTGGTATTTATGGAGGCACGAACCCTGTTAAAGAGAGAGGAGAGATGAGCAGAGCCCTTCAGGAGTCTGGTTGCAAACCCATGCAAAGAGAAAATGGAACACTTCAGCATGCTGCACAGTTAACAGGGTGTCTGCTTCTGATGTTGCATGCACCTACTCTTAACTCATTTTGTATTTTTACATTATTTAACTTATACTCTATTAGACAGAGAACTTTTTTCTTATTTTAGATATTGCAGGCATAGAGCATGAATTAACTTCTGCCTAATGAGTGGTTTAAAGTATTTATGCCTTGCCGAGCAAAAAGCTAAAAGCAGAAATGTGCGCAAATCACCCACACGTCTTTCTGCAAGCAGAGCTTTAATCTGGGCAATTCATTCAGTGCTTTACAGTAAGTTATTTCCAAAAGTGATACATTCATCATTCTCAAAGTCACTGTTAGTGTAATTCAAGCTCCAGCTTACCAACAAGAGCTGCAACTGTGGTCAGAGTGCTTTGATTTTGGAGAACTAAAGTCTGATGAAAAGATCCTTTTTTTCCCACATCTCATTTCCCAGACAACACGTGGGCATTGCACGGTTGCATCCAGTCATGTATTCTGGTAATATTATTCTTTGAAATTGAATGCTTATGATGTGACTGTGTTACATTTACAGTGGAATTATTCTTTCCACAGTGCTGGAACCATGTTATTAGGAGCTGCAATTGTCCCAGCACTGCAGGGAGGGATGAAACTTATCTATAGTGTGTGAACTTAAAATTAGGATTCAGTATTTAGAATACAAAGCAGTTTACCTGAAAGTGATACTTCCCCACAAGAGGTTGAGAAAACAAAGATTTAGTGGTAGAGACTTCAGAAGAGAAAGCTGACATTTTGTCAGTTGTGCACCTGTTCAGATGTGATGTTTTTAATACTTCTTTTTCCAACTCAGAGGAGATAAGCCCCTGGAAATGATTTTATATAGGTATGTTTTAATTAAACATTTCTGTACAATGTCAATTAGTCCCTTTTCATTGTGTACTGATATGAAATTTTTGTTGCCAACATCTTTCTCTTTCTTTGTGTAGGCTTTCTTCACATGGCAGCTGCCCAGTGTATGGTCCATGAGATTCATCCCAGGAGATTTACAGTACCATGCCTGCTGTTAAATGACACATCTTTGATTCCTTCTGCTGCTGGAGATGTACAGAACTGGTCTGCTTTGAGGAGAGAGTATGGAGCTGCTGAAACCAACCCTTCCTTGCTAATGGATGAGGAAAGTTTTCTGTGTTGCCATTGGAGCAATAACAACACCAATTGTTCTTTGTACGGAGGAAACATGCAAGCAAGGATGCTTATTCCTTCAGAAATAAGCATCTTTGCATCTGAGGAAAGAGGTAGGTTTCTCTGTCAAGGGTGCAGTAAGTTCCTTTAAAAAAACACATTGTTTTTTAATAGTTCAGAAATGCTTACTCCATTTCTTTTATTTAGATTCAAATTGGAACATTGAATGTTGGGTTGAAGGCAAGCTGGATCTGTTAGTTTGTGGCCTGCAGTTCCTGAAGTTTCACATGAGACTTGATATGAAGGTTCATCTTTTATATGCTGTGTAAGTACAGGCTTAAATTTCTCACTGTTAGCATTACAAATCTGAAAGCATTTCCTAACACATCAGCATTGGTCTCTCAAGCTTGTAGCACAGTAGTGGCATCAGCTTCACAGGTAGGTGATATTTTATGTATCTTATCTTACCTTAAAGTAATCTATTATTATTTTTATACAGAGAATACAGATATTATTTTTATACAGATTATACAGAGAAAAGCTCATGGTTCTATCTTTGAACAAAAAAAAAAAGCATGGGAATCTCTCTGCTCTATTCTTTCCCTGTTTCTCAAAATGCTTAAACTATTGATCACTATTGGCTTGCTGAAGTATCTTTGCTTTTGCACTTGCTAAATTCAAAAGCTGCAGTCTGGTTCTACCTGTTTATGCTTTTGACCATAATGTTCTCTCAGAGTAATTAAGTGACTTGGTGTTTAGCATTGTGTTAAATGTTGCTCTGATCACATTGGTGGGAGGCTACTGGGAGACATCCATCTGTGTAGTTGTCACTGTGATAAATACTCTGTGATGGTAATTATCCTGACTCTGGGGTGGCGTCGCCTGTCTGATTTTATTGTAGGTGGGTCTACTTGATTCTGATTTCACTGTTCCTCTTGTATTACTGATGGATTGGAGGGAATGATGTAACACACAGATTGAATTTCTTGAGGAAACCTGCTCAGTAAATAGTTGACAATGCTAAACTCACAGGTGACAACTTCTATTTAAAATACAGAGCTAGATGGCTGATATCACTTGCCATAAATTATATCTGTAGTGAATGTAGGAAGCAACAGAATGCGCTGGTAGCAAATATGGTTGTAGAGGGACATAATACTTTAAAACTGAAATTAGATTTTGAGTGGGAACCCACAGATTTCCAGTTTTCCTCCTGACTGTGATTTTCAACATACCATTACACGTGTTTTTGTAGAAGTACATCTCACTTTGCCTCAGTTCCATTCAGTCTCAACTGCAGAAAAATCTTAGCCAGTAATCCTAGTTTGGTTACTTTGTGCTGCAGAGGCAAGGTGCAATGTGGCCCCTGACACTGGAGAACTTGTCTCACTTCCCAGATTTCATGGTAACATTTTTCTTTTAGGGTCCCTATGTTGTGGGAGAGCAGCTAGCAGAGCAATTCAGATTTTACTAAGGTAACAGTTTCCCCTGTTGGCTTGCTGATACCTTCACATTTTTTTTCACATGAGCCAAAATACCTTGAAAACATTCCCAGCTTTAAAAATATGCATTCCTGGATTGTGTTATTGCCTGGGAGTCTGGAGCTCAGGCTGGAATTTTCACGTATACGATAAGCAATGTATGAAAATAATGACCTAGAAGAATCTCTAAGATGAAGTTTTGCTCCTCAGCAGTTTTAAGTTTTTCAGCATTCAAGATGTACCCTTTTGACTTTGCACATCCACGGTTTATTTGCTCGTAATAGTATCAAGTCACTTAGAGTAGAAGATGTGTTTTTCTGTCTGAAACAATGCTGTGCTGAGGGTACCTTCCCCAGCAGCATGTCTTTGGGAGGAGAAAGATTATTCTGAAATTTAATTAGACAAATTAGGTTAATCTTCTACCAAAAGTGAACGATAGTTGTGTGTATTCTAGGAATGCTGTAAGCCTTGATGGTTGATTACATTAACTGAAATCTCTTAGCCTTAGGGATCCTTTTGCAGTGGCACAGATGAACGCTTGTGGGTGAATTCTGAGTACTGATACAATTTGCCCTTTCACTGGATGGTGATTTATAGGATGTGCTCATGTTCCCAACCTATTTGCAATGCCTGAAGGGAACTTCTTTAGTTCTGAGCTTAGACTGCTGTGTTCTTAAGGATAAATTACACAATTTACCTCAACTTTGGTGTCATAGTTGAGTGCATCAGTTATACATTGAACTGGAGAGCACTGACATTCTGTTAGGGACTTAGCCTCGTATGAACCAGTCAGCCACCTCTCTGCAGTGATAAGGGACAGCTTGTTCAACTGAGGACTGACCTAGAACTGCTATGTGCACTGAGACATGCTTATTGAAAATCCTTAACCAGGTAGCCCTGCTCCATCAGTCCTAATGAAGATAGCACTTGCACAAACACAGTGTGTAGAAATACTGAAAGCAGTGCCACAGTTGTTACCTTACTTCTGACATGCCTCAGCACACCCGCCCAGCTGTGCTGTTGGACCTTTCTTGAAATCAGAAGAATTAGTTCTTGTACGTTTGACCCTTTGTTTTCAACTGATGGATGGAAGCAGCATTATGCCCACTTGTGTCGTATTTATTTTATAAATTGAGAATAATTTGATTCAATTCTGTAGAGTTATAAGCATTGAAAACATTTATAGATAGATCACGTTTATAAATCATATATGATTGTTATTACAAAGCTTGTTTTTCACTGAAAAATGAGTTTTTGACTAATATATTACTTACTATGTTTAATGGTAGTAGAAGCTACACTAAGTTTAGATTTGATTTCACTGCCCTACACAGAGGAATTAGAATGAAATCCCAGCTGGGGTGGCAGAAGACTGCAGTTAGTCTGCTGTGGGGGAGCTGACTTTGGTAATAGCTGCCACCAGGGGTTTGAAACCAATCTGACTGAACTATGGGTCTCATCATGATTGTAGCACATCTGTTTCAGGATCAAACCTTAATACTTTTTGTGAAATCATCTAATTTGCTTTACTTGAAAACCATTTTAAGTGGGAAAAGCAGCAAAGTAAAAGCGATTACTACAGTTAGAAAGTTTTAATCTTTTTTTTATTACAGGCAATATTTTTGTTTGTTTGTTTTTGCAAATAAACTTTCCCCAGAAGACAAACACCTCTCTATTGAAATACAGTGTAAAGAGAAATACTTTGTTTTGTTTGTTTTACCTTGTAGGTCAGAGCTGTCACTGGGAGATGCATCTACCAGCTCCCTGAAGAGGACTGCCCTGGCTGCTCAGTGTAACTGCAGTGAGTACAGCAAATGTGAGTGCCATGTGCCTTCCCCAAGGCTCAACCACACTTACATCATGTGGCTGAAGACTGTGAGTGGTGTAACACCTCTTTGGTCACCCTTGATGTCGGTCAAGCCCATAGACATAGGTAAGTGTTACATAGGTTGTGAGCCTTTGTTAATGGGGAGTGGCAGCAGAATGTCTTTGGGTGAGAAGGAGGACACAGAACAGGAAGGGACTTCCTGGTGTTGTCTTGGATTGCTCACTGAGCAGGAATAAAGGCTGTTCCTAATGCTGCTTTGCAATTAAAGCTCTTCTCTTAGCAGCTCTGTTTTTCTTATATTTTTCTTTCTTCCTTACACATACAATTCCAGCATTTTCCAAACTGGAAAACAGTCCTCTAATATTTAATCAAGCCAAAGCCCTTGTGACACAGTGAATTTGATATGTGTCCATTTTGTGAACACAGTTATTACAGATCTTGTCTAAGATTGAACAGGTAGGGTCTGTCAGCTGTGGGGGGGACAAAATAGAAGTCTTATAAACTGCTTCCTAACTGATGTGCTCTGCAGACAGAACAAGTTAAACATCTCTGGGTGGGGCAGTTCTGAAGATGAGGGGTTGCATTTACCATTATGGTTTTGAATGATGCCACAGGGAAAAAGTTATACGTTCAGAACTGAGTGTGCCAGCATTAAAAGTGCTGTTATTAGATTGTTCTGCTTAGTGAAGTATATTTTAAAAAATGAAGAATATTAGTATGTCCTCTGCTGAGGTTTAGTTGAGTTAAAAATCAGTTGGAAAGTAAAAACACACAAACTTGTGTAGTATGTCAGTAGAACAGGTGGCAGCAGAATAAGAAAACATCATTATTTGTATTGTAACATGCCCAGAAGTGTGATGTAAAAGTCGATGACTTTTTGTTTTGAAAACTATGGCCTTTTGCTGAAATCACTTATTCCTGCTGGTATTCATTATTCCATCTCAATGCAATTAACTTGGAGAATTTGGATAAGTAATAAGAAAATGAGTATATAAGACTTAGTATAGTGAACTTGTACTGAAAATAATAACTGTTGTTTGGTAAGTTGAGTGAGGTTCCAGTAATACCATCCAAAGAAGATGACTGTAAGAGCAAAGAAACCCATGAATGGCCTCTCTGTATTTAGTCCAGTACTGAAGGTGCAGACTCTTACTGGAGTGAACCCCCATGTTGCTCTGGGAGGCTCCATGTGAGCCTAACGTGTTGTCTGACCACGTGGTTCAAATGCCAGGAGCCAGTTACCTGTGGGGGCAAGCTGTGGACATCCAGAGCAGACAGGGCTAAAATGAGCATGCACCCCACTGCCTGAGACCCTTGGAAATGCTTTCTTTTCAGGTAAGGCACATGCTGTTTAATCTGCAGTGGTTTTTAACAGGATATCAGCCTTGCATGAGAGGAACTCTGCTGAATGAGGACAAGGTCAACCAAAAGGCACTGTACTTACACAGTGATATGAAAAGGTCTCATTAACAGGTAAAAGTAGGATCTCAGTTCCTTGCCTTTGTCCAAGGAAGAGTGAATGTGATCTCAATCATCATTTTAAATTGCCCATCTATTTCCTCCTCCACAGAGTTCTCTGTATCCATGTGGGAACTTCCTGAAGCCCCCTTTTTCCCTCTGCCTTAATGTAGCTCTGTGGGAAGCCTTTTATTCATAGCCATAATCACGGTAGAAGGGATGGGAAGATTTATAAATTGTGTGTACAGTATGAGGATGTTACTTCCTGCCTGTTAATGAGCTGAGCAAATGGCTTTGTACAGCACTCCCATCCCTTTCAACCTTTTCTTCTGCAAATCAGATAAGCTAGTACTTGATTACTGGGGAGAAGCATGACCAAGGCAAGAAATACTTGTAATTTTAAGGCAAATGTTAGGTCAGACAGCGTATCCTGATAGCTGACTGTGTAGCAGTGCAGGGTGAACTTTCACAGTAATATTGCACAACGTTGCTCTCTCATACGTTGTCTGTAGAGCAACTGTTGGAAACTGAACTTAAAGTGTGAAAGAAATTTCTGAATCAATAGAAGTCATTACAGCCAGCAGTCACAGGCAGTGTAAACTCGTATATTAATTTGTCTGCAGTAAAGCCTGAACCTCCTTTGAATGTGCATCTAGAAATGACTGAGAGAGGTCAAGTGAAGATCTGCTGGTCTGAGCCTGTACTGATGCCGTACCCGCTCCAGTATGAAGTGAACATCTCTGGAAATTCAGGTCAAAATGACTGGCAGGTGAGTCAGCCCTGCTCTCTCTCTTCCTTTCTTTTTCCTGAATCGTTGTTCAATAATAATAGCTTCTGATAATCCAACCAACAGGTGGTTCAAGTTGCTTTAAGTACCTCATTAGACATAGACAGTATGCTGCTTGATTCTTCCTCCTTTGCTCAAGTGCGGTGCAAGAATCATTATGGTCCGGGGTTCTGGAGTGAATGGAGCACACTATATAATCTGAATGTGGGAGGTAGGTCATGTGCAGTTACCTGGAGCAGTAAGTAGACTTCTGGGATACAGTAAATTTTCCAGTTTTTGTTTTGTGGAATCAGTGTGTGTGAGAACATTATCCAGGGAGGTGCAGTACACTGTGCGTGAGTTGGACCAAGAATTCCCGTGTAAGCTCTTTAACCTCCTGCTTCTCCTGCTCGTAGCTTTACCTGAGATTGTGCTCTTTCCTTTGTAGAAGATTAGCATTAAATGATAAATGCATGGAGACTGCATGGTGACCTCCCTGACACCCCCATGTCTGGCCCTATTGCTTTCAGACCTAGGAGAAGCTGGGTCTTTCACTTACGCTGCTATGTGTTGTTTTCACTGTCCTGGTGTTTTCTGTCAGTTCATTACTACTTGCCTAGGGACAGTAAAGGTTGTTTTTATTAGAGATTGTAAGGATAAGTTATGGAAGGAAACAGTCAAGGATCTGTTCCTGCTCCTCTGTCCTATAGCAGTTCATAATAACAAGCCTGGAGGAAGCAGATGATGTAGAGATACAACTGGATAATAGTAATTTTCTGTTGATCTGTGGTTTTTGTTGTTGTTCTGATTCTGATCTCAGTGGCTTTCTTTCTTTTCTTGTAGCTGAGGTGCTGTACTTCCCTACTAAGATACTGACCAGTGTTGGTTCTAATGCTTCATTTCATTGCATCTATAAAAACAAAACCAAGAGCGTAGCGTCCAAGAAGATTGTTTGGTGGCTGAATTTAGCAGAAGAAATCCCAGAAAGTCAGTATACGCTTGTGAACGATCGCGTAAGCAAAGTTACTCTTTTCAACTTGAAAGCAACAAAACCTAGAGGAAGTTTCTTCTATAACGCATTGTACTGTTGCCATCAAAATAGGGAATGTCATCATAGATACGCTGAATTATATGTAGTAGGTAAGAGTCCAGATGATTTTAAATTACAGTTTTGGTGCATTTTAATAGTAAGGTCAATTTTCTTAAACTCCATTTAGCTTTTGTCGAATAGCTACCACTTGTAATGCATGTTTTTGTGTAAACAATTATATCTTATTAATAACTTTTAATGTGTTTTTAATTAGATGTGAATATCAATATCAAATGTGAAACTGATGGGTACTTAACTAAAATGACTTGCAGATGGTCTGCAAACCCAAACGCGTTGCTCTTGGGGAGCTCCTTGCAGTTAAGATACCACAGGTGTGTATAGCTTTTAATTCATGTGTTGTTTGGAAAGCATTACTCAGAAAATACTGTTACAGCAAAGAACCAGGAATAGATGATAGAATGTGTAAATACAAAATGTGCTCACTTCCTGTAAGCCAGACTTCTCCTCAGTTAGAACTCCAGAGGTATTAAATATGTGTGCAAATGAGAACTATGGGTATCTGAGTAAGTGATATGGATTTTATTTTTTATTGACCTGCTCTCCTGCATTTGTGAACCTTGTAGGTGCAGTTCAGAATTCAGTTCTATAAATACAGTTTAGAACACAGATATTTATTAACTCAGTTATGACATTGACCTACATCTAACTGAACTAATTACTGAACCCAGCTTTTGGGGTTTTCTCAAGTTATTCTGTCTTTCTGCTTGCATTGTATGAGTGAATGCAAGTTCACCTGGCTCTTAACATGGATATATTTGCTTCTATCAGTTATATAGGATCTTCTAGTTGCTTATTTCTACAGACAGTAAAGAAGTGAAAAAGTAGTAGCCAAAAAAAAAAAACAAAACACCCCCCAACAAAGGCACTCATTGACAGAGCACTGGAGCAGGAGCCCACATTGGCTCTAAAATCTCTGTCCTTGGAAAGAGGCCTTGGGATCTCAGCTGGGCAGGATGCTGGGCAGCCTCATCAGACTGGAGCTCTGTGTCTCTCTACATACAGATAGTATATAAATATACAAGGGCAAAAAAAAATATATAAGATTGTTGGTTCAGAAAGGAGCTGTTGCTTTATGAAGGTAATGTTGTTGGTTGGCTGGAGCAACCCTTTCATTTCATTGTTCTGCAGGAATAGATGTATAAAGGTTTTACAAAAACAAACCTCGAGTGCCTGATCCTTTGGAAAGCTGAACTGTCCTTCCTAGTGAAGGTGGATTTAATTTCTGAACAACTTGTTGTACCAAAATGAGTATTTCTCAGGGTTTTGTGGAATAAAGCAGTAGCTGGAATGCTTGAGTGAGATTGCAGGTGGGGACTTCTAGGGCAGGACTGGTGACTAAATGACACCTGAGGTAGTTTTTGTTTTGGCTGTCTTCAGAAGTCTGAATGTAATTAGTGTTGTGCTGGGCAGGGAGCCTGAAGTAAACACAGTGCTGCTCATGCCATGGTTTTATTCCTGCTTTTACACTGTTCAGGTTTAGCTATTTTTTTCTAATGCTACATAATAATTTGTACTTTTAGTGTTCTGCTTCACTGAGCACTGTACAGTAATATAACTGTAATGCTAGCTGAATGCTAGCACTGAATGGGATATTTATTTCAGTATTCTTGGGCTGAGGTTTGTTTCATGTTTTGTTTTTTTAATTGAAGTGTGTGTGTGTGTGCTTTGTTAATACTACAGACTGAAAGAGCAAGAATTTCAAAAAGAAGTGCCATAGGGAATGGATGGGAGGTTTTCCAGGAGCACACAGCTATTTTTCATCTTGATGTGATTACATTTGAGAGATGAAATCCCATGCTGTACAGTGATGTGGTGTGATAGCTTTACATGTTGGTGTTTTGTTTTCATTGGCTCCTGATTACGTCTTCCTCTACAGTCAGTGCTGCCAACTGTAACAGCACAGAACTGATCATCCTGGAAAAACAGAATGCTAAGCTAAACCTAAGCAGCAGACAACTGTTAATCAGTATTAGCTGTGTTGACAGGAAGAGGAAGGATTCAGCTAAGGCTAACTTTTGTGGTCCAGCTGAATAATGAATGCCCTATCTGGCCACTCTTACTGCAAGTCTGAGCTGTGCAGACACTTAGGAGGAATTTGGAGCCTGTCCTTCCCATCTCCCATAAGACATTACTGCTATTTTGTCCAGAGCCTTGGTCTCTTCTGTTGCCAGCTGTGATATTGACTGCCTGTGGGATTTTGATAGCACCCTCCAGAATTAATACTCGTATGGGATTTCAGTCTCCTGGAGGCTTCACTGTGCATATCTGATTGGGCTCCTCTGCTGTGGACATCAGTTGGTGTTTGGCAAGTCATATTCCTGGCTGCCTTGCCTCTAAATACCTCCAAAGTAACATGATTTATAAGTGTTTGGAGATGCCTGCTCTTTTTGTACCTCTTTCTTCCTGCTGTTAGTCTGTTATCAAAAGATTTTGCAATGGGATGAGCTTTCTATGTCCTACTTTTCCTCCAGACTAAGAGCCAAAGTTTTAAGGAACACTGCTGTGTTATTTCTCCACTCAGTGCAGAGTAAAGTTCAAGGTCTGTCCAAATAATCATTTAAAAAGTCACACAATTCCAGTGATAACACTTGTTTTAATTACATCCTATATGACTGATGCCATGAGCAGCTTATTGTTGCAGCGCATTAACTGAACGTTTTTCCTCTTTTAAGGAGCAAAATTTATTGTTCTAACTTTCCAAGTACTCCTCCAGAATCAGAGGTGAAAGAATGCCATTTCCAGAGGAATCATTCTTACGAGTGCACATTTCAGCCTGTTTTTCTTTTATCTGGGTATACCATGTGGATTGAGTTTAAGCACTTGCTGGGAACACTTGAATCCTCACCAACTTGTGTCGTTCCAGCAGATGTGGGTAAGTCTAGATTTCTGCACGTCTTTCTTCACTTGTGACCTTGGATTTCAGGCCTTATATGGTATAGGTGAAGTACTTTGTAGCATTTTAAATAAATTATATTGTGGAAAGAACATTAACACTTAAGAACTTCAGTGTTGTCTTCTAAAAAAAACATTGGATTGAATGTTATTTCCATAGATTTTGCTTGGCACGGGAGTAGATCATGACTGTAGCTAGTACCTATAAAATGACACACTTAGTTTTGTATGTTTATCCTTTTGAGTGTTTTGCAAAGACATCCAGAAGAAGAAGAAAAAAATAGTTTGGTAAAAGGCAGTCTGACTTTTTTTTTTTTTAAGATTCTTGATTAGTTGCTTGTTTCTGGTACCTCCTCTGAGGGAGGTGCTGAGAGAGTTGGGATTGCTCAACCCAGAGGAGGGGAGGCTTTGAGGGGTGCCAGTCCATAATAACCTGAAGGGACATGCAGGCAGAACAGAGCCAGGCTTTAGGCATTGATGCCAGTGCAGGCCCAGAGGTACTGGGCACGGACTGGAGCCCAGGAGCTTCCTGTGCCCACAAGGCAGCACTCTGTACTGGGCAGTGCTGGAGTGCTGGCACAAGGACCAGAGAATGGGGGAACTCCTTGGGAATTTCCAAATCCATGTGGCTGTGGTTGGGCACAGCTCTGGGGGCCCAGCTGGGGAATGACTTGGGTTGGATGGACCCAGAGGTACCCCCAGCCTCAGCCATACTGTGCTTCTCTGAAGGTTGTGCTTAGATGCAGTGTAGCATGATAGCACGCTCCTGTTTAAAAGCATAGGAGCTGTTTATGTTCTTGCATGCTTTTGCAAAGTTTGTTTTGTGACACACAGAGAACTGAAATTTGTGTAAAAGATAGAGGCAGAAACAGTGCTTGAGTGTTTTCAAACACTGCAAAATGTGCAAAGCAAGTCTTATTATTGGGTCCATGACTCAGAGCATTCATTGGACTCTGTATTGCTTTGGACACAAATGAGAACATATGCAGAGGGAACACATTGCAGCTTTGGCTTTGTGTGACTTCTGCAAAAAGATTTTCTACATCCCTCTACAGAGAGGAAGTCTCACTTTTCCACCCAGATTTAGTATTTGCAATAGCTGGTTCCTTCTGTACTCCAGATAGACCACATGAAATAAATAGCTACATGAAATAAAGCAGAACAGAGTACATATTTTATGGGAGTGGAGAGGTACAGGCACATAAAGAACAAACCAAACTATGCCTTGCATTTCAGATTTTAATTAGAGTGAGCAAAACAAATCCTATTTGTTCTAACCTCACCCAGAATTTAAAACATACTTGAAGTTTTTGTTATTTATTTGCTTTTCTCTCTCGCCTGCTCGCTGGTCATAACAAATTTATTCTAACGTACTTTGTTAACTAACTGGGGCTTTCTGACACAGCGGTTTAAATTCAAATGAAACCTACTGAAACTTTGCCATGAGTTTTAAAAAAAATGATTATGTCATAAGAAATTTTGATTTTGATATTATCAACTTAAGATTTTTGATGATTTTAATTTGGGTCAAAGATGGACTTCAGTGTCCCCTTTCTCAGCCAGAAGCGCACTCTCTGCAGTGGACAGCAGGCTGGCCTGTGCTGTAGAGTTGGTGATTTGGTGTCTGGAGTCTGGTGTTCTCCCAGCTTGGAGTAGCAGAGGCTGCAGTGTTACCTGCTGCCTTTGGGACAGAGGAAGGCATGCAGTGATGACTTGATTTAATGAGAAATATCAGTAGTGATGTTACAGTTGTCTTTTTTTCCTTTGCATTTTCTAGTGAAGCCACTTCCTCCCTCCAACATTAAAGCAGAGATCACCAAAAATGATGGGCTGCTGAATGTGAGCTGGGCAAACCCTGTGTTTACAAACAATGATCTCAAGTTTCAGATCCGGTATGCAGTGAACAAGGAAGAACTCACATGGGAGGTACTGTCTTTTTCAATCCAGAGCAAAGCATGAATTGTTGCAGTGCTGTCATGTAGCCTGTCAGCTAGCAGGTATTGATGGAGTTGGTTGCAGTGAATCACAGTTCTGAGTATTTGCATTATCTGGCAAGGGAATGTTACTGGGTAGGCATCTCCCTTGTTGGATTTATTTTCAAGAGTTTTGATTGTCACAGATGCTGAAACAACCCTTTGTTCTTACTTTCAGTATTTTGACTTCTGTTACAGCTGTATGACGTTCTAAGTGCATCAACAAGATCAGCTGTGATAGAAGTGCAACTTTGTGTTGAATATATTGTTCAGATCCGCTGCAGAGCCCTGGATGGTTTGGGCTACTGGAGCAACTGGAGCAGATCAGCCTATGCAGCTGTCAAAGATATCCAAGGTAGATGTGCCTGCAGGGTGTGCTCTGGTGGTTTGTCCAGTTTCAGGCTGAGATGTGACGCTGTCCTTTCAAAATTGTAATGTTGCAGCTCCCTTACATGGCCCTGAGTTTTGGAGAACTATTACTGAAGATCCAGCAATGGGGCAGACAAACGTTACGCTCCTGTGGCAGGTGAGAGTGCTTACGTTTTGATCCTTCATTTTGAAAGAGATTTGATCCAAAAGCACTGCTATTATTACCCAACGAGGAGTGTGGTGAGCACGTGCTTCCCTGTGCAGGCAGTGCTGTGTTGTGTGTTCATGTCAGCCTGCGCGCTCGGTGTTAATTATATAGATGGTGTGAAACAGATTTAACATGCAATTTGTTCTAATACTTGGGAGTAAAAAAAAAAAAGGTAACATGGAATCAAATACTGTAAGGGAATGAGATGCAGTTTTTGACTGCCAAGTTTTGCTGAAATCTCAGAGCAGAATGTGCCACTGACTCCCAGACAGCTGCCTGTGCAAACACCGCTGCAACTGCATACAGACTTGGCAAGGCTACCTTCAAAGGTTAAAGCAGGATAGAGGAAAAGAGTACAGCAACGACTGGCCACTCCTGCTTGTCCTTGCAGTGATGTTAGGTGTGAAAATAATCATCTGTCCTGTTTTTTTGGTTGGTTTTCTTTTTTTTTTTTAATTTCCAATCCTGAAAAAATACCAACATAAAGCAGCAAATTTTTTTAGGAATCTGAAACTTTGTGTTTCCTTGTGCCCTCTTTCAGTGGAGAGATAGCAAGTAGGGGTATCAGAATCATATCATAGAATCATAGAATGGCCTGGGTTGAAAAGGACCACAGTGATCATTTAGTTCCAACCCCCTGCTATTGCAGGGTTGCCAACCAGCAGACCAGCCTGCCCAGAGCCACATCCACCTGGCCTTGAATGCCTGCAGGGATGGGGCAGAGAGGAAGTCAGGTCTGTGAGTGGACTGTGGTGTCTTTTCTTAAGGAAACAGCATATAGAGTATTTTTTTTGGGCCGTGCTTTCTTAAAACTGGGATGCTGACAGTTCTACCCAAATGTTTTCTTTTGAAATCAAAGTCTGGGAAATTGATTAACGTTAATGTTTGCCACAGCCACTGATGAAGAATCACTCACTGTGCAGTGTGAGCCGGTACGTTATAAAGCATCAGACATCAGAAAACACCTCGTGGTCAGAATATGTCGACAAAGGCACCACCTGCTCGTTTCCATGGACTGAACACACACACACCATTACAATCTTAGCTGTGAATTCAATTGGAGCTTCTTCAGTTAATTTTAACTTAACTTTATCACGACAAATGAGCACAGGTAAGAACATCTGTTAGTTACCGTTTTGAGATGTGAAATATGTTAGGAAACCGTGTGATGCTTTTAGGCAAAGCTTTCTTTGTAATGAAATTCCCTTTGTTGGGGGGAAAAAAAAAAGCAGTTGGTTCAGTCATGTATGGAAACAGATTCTGTATCTCACCAGTAAAGCTATTTGAAAATGAGATTTCCATCACCTGGAAATCTTACCTGGGATGTCTCCCCTCCAGTAACAGGACATAAAGTAATTAACCAAATAAAAATGAAATCATGCTGTGGAACTGATCTTTCATCTGCTTTGTCTTGGGAATGCCCAGCATTCTTGCAGGGGAATGTTTTATTGTTTCCAGAATGAGATGTGATCTTGTTTCCCTGGCTGGAAAGAGGTGTAGCCATCTTTCCCGAGCTGCATTCTCAGAGGTTGAGCCACGCTGTGCTTCATTAATAAAATAAAGACTACTGGAATTTTAAATCTTAAATTGTGTAACATTCATGTGCTAATGTGTTCTGTGGGAAACATTTCTGCAGTTTATTCACAGAACTTTTCCACAGTACTGCCATTTTAGAAGTGTTTTTATGGGTCAAATTCTTTCTGATACTGCACGTAAGGGTGGAGACTCATAGTTGGTAGCAGATGAAGTGGGAAGCGTTTGTCTGCCTGGATTATGGTCTGGCTGTGTTATGTAGGGGGATTAGATAGGATTTAGCTTGTAGGCTCGCACTGTATGTTTTCGTAGCTAAAGTCCATTTGTTGATTATTTCTTAGTTAAGGAGTAATGATTAAGGAGTAATGACAACACAGACATTTGTTTGGTGAGAAGCTTGGTCTGTTTAGTGCTCAGGACTTGTTGGTGTAGACCAAGATTCACTGGCTTAGAGAAATACATTTGCTTATGTGACCTACGGATCAGGCTGTACTGTGTAATGATAAAACTAAAATGAAGCTCTTAAACTGTAGTGGTCATTTGTGTGCATGTATGCTGCAGCATCAGCTCCTGCTAAGCCAGCTCTCACCTCTGTTGGAGCCCTTGTGTCTCACAGCTGTTCTGTCCTTGCTTTGGCAGTGAATGCAGTGCAGTCTCTCATTGCTTACCCAGTGAACAGCACGTGTGTGATTTTGACTTGGACGCTTTCACCTCAAATATATGTGATAACATCTTTAATTATTGAGTGGAGAAACCTTAACAAAGAAGAGGAGATGAAATGGGTGCGAGTTCCTCCAAATACTAGTAAATACTATATTTATGGTGAGTGTGTGCTTGAAAATGTAATGCATTATGTTAATTGATATGGAATAGAAGAATGTAGCATCCCTGAGCTCTCACGTTCCTCTCTTCCCATCTCTCCATTTCTGGTTTTATGGTAAAGAGCAAGACAGCAATTCTTGATTATTGTGAGAGGACTGACTGTTGCTTTCTTGATTGAAGTTGATGAAGAATGAAGCTGAGATGTGTGTTCATTTTATGGCAACACAATAAAATTAGCTCTGGAATATTGACCGTACCCAGCTAGTTACCTAAGTTAATGAATTAATTAATTCCATCTGCGTTATTTGCTTTAATCTTAGAAATATTTACAGTAGTTGCATAAGTGTTAATTCCATGGAAAAAAATCTGCTAGATTATGCAGTAAGTATTAATAGTCTTTTGATATTAAAGTGCATACCTATAAAAGGCAGTTTTTCTCATTCCTGTCTGTGGCCTGGCTCCGATGCGAACCTCTCTGGAGGCCCTTGTTTCATAGCAGGGTGATAGCTTACATTCAGAAGGCTGACTTCTTCCTTCCAGATCACTTCATTCTGATTGAGAAGTACCGGTTCACCCTGTACCCCGTGTTTGCTGCAGGAGTTGGCAAATCCAGAGCCACGGACCAGTTCACCAAAGGTGAATGCAGCATCTCTCTTCTGTGTGGTTCATGAAGCAGGAGCTTGGTAGTAAAAAGTGGAAGTCTGTGTCTTAACCAGAAAAAAAATGAAGTGATTTTAATACATCTAAAAACAGTGCTTTGGATTTCAGTTCCTTTAAAGTGGAAGCTCTTTGTAGAGTGAATTTAGTGAGGCAACTGAACTTCCATACACCTAACTGGGTAGCAGAGATCCTAGGTTCTTAATCTTCCAGTTACAGACTGTTCCCTTATTCATATGCTCTAATTTCCAACAGCAAGGGATTCCCACTGGCACAGAGGAATCACCTCAGTATTTGGAATAATTCCCTCCTTTTATCTGTTTGTTTTCAAGGTAAACATTGGTTGATGTGTGATAAAACTGTTACCAAATTTCTTTTGCTTAGGCTGTTGTTTCTCCTGGTTATGTATGTTGTCATTATTTGCCTTTTATAAAGTGTTTGTTCACAGACAAATAATTTCAATGTGGTGTTACCTACATTCCTCTTATTTCCAGATGGATATGTCAGTCAGACCAGTTCTAGTTTCTACATGGTTCTGCCAATAGTTATTTCAACCTCTGTGCTGTTGCTTGGAGCACTGCTGGTTTCCCACCGAAGGTAAATTTGTCCTCATCAAATCCCAGAAGGCCTTTGGAAGGCAGTGCAGCTTTGCTATGTCTGCTCAGCTGGTGGGCAGTGTCCGTATGAGGAAGGTTGGATTGCTTTTTTCATTTTTATTTTTGAGATGCAGTGTAAGGCAGTGGGCTCTTAAATGTTGCACCACGAATTGGAATGCCTTGTTATCTGGTCAGAGTAATGCCTGTTAGAGCTGGTGTCCTTTCTCAGTGGAAAATACCATGTCGGCCTGTATCCCACACTGCTTACTTCTGCAGTATTTTGTGGGCAAGCTGATGGGTGCCAGGTGCTTTGAATTTGTATTGCACTCTGTGCTGCAGATTTAATTCTCCTTACCAACTAAAGTCTGAAGGAAAAGCCAATTCCAAAAGAAGTGCATTTGAGTTTTATGGAGAGTAGGTTGGGGTCCAGTTCAGCAAAGGCTGCCTGTACATTTCATAATTCATGAAAGTGCTAGCTGCTGTGTTACTACTTAATTTTTCCATTTAACTTTGACCTTCTAGACTATGATTGTTTCATAGTCATAGTGTTCTGGATAAATAAAATGTCACATATTCCTTTTCTGACATAGCAAAGGTAAATAACAGCAGTACAGAATATATGAGTGCAGGACTAACTCCAGAATTTACCTCACCTTTCAGAATGAAGAAACTGCTCTGGGAAGATGTTCCGAACCCCAAGAATTGCTCATGGGCACAAGGAGTTGATTTTCAGCAGGTATGTGTTTCCCTGGTGCTGCTCCTCCCCAGGCTGTGCTCAAGGGCTGACTGCTCAGTACTGAGCCCAGTGTGTTGGTTAGTCTAGAGCCCATCTGAATTACTGAACCAAGCACCTAGAGCCTCTGAAATTGGCAATACAGCTGTTCTTTTAGCTGTAGAAAGCCAGCACCCTGAAATGTACCAGGACCAGAGACCAGCATCTCTTAAATGTAACACAGCAGTTGTAGAACCTAAACATGTCCCATCAGTGTAATGCTCCTATACTGATGAGTGCTTGTAGCTGTATGTTTTGCTGGAGTAAAGTGCCTCTCCATTTACCACATGAATCAAGAGCTGTGATGCAATGAGCTGTGACCAGTGAGAGCCTTTATGTGGACATAGCCCGTTAGAACCAGGAAATGGAGCTTCTCAAGGAGCTGACAATGTACAGTCATTGAGACAGTGATCTAAATTAGGTCTGTTATCTCTAAAAGAAAGAGCGCCTAATGGGTATTTTAGTTGCATTCCCAGAGAAGGTTTCCTTTCTCATTTCATTTCAACAGAGGATGGACATTCTTTCAAGCCTAATCATGGTCACTGCCTGCTTGAACCTTTGGGCCATCTCCCAGGCTTCCTAGGGTTAGAAGGTTTCTCTATTTATATTCAGAAGACAAGAAACACAGACACCTAATGATGCTCATTTGCTTAATTATAATGAATTGTAGAAGTAGTTCTGTCAAAAATCTAAAATACCCTTGCAAGAATTAGGAATAGGTGCCATGTTACAGACCAGAACGTGGCTTGTCTCTTGTACAAGGCTCTCCTGTTAAGATCTTCTGAAGTTTTTATGTACCCCCGGTGCTGCAGCAACTCAAAGAATGCAGATATTGTATGCATGTCGTGTCTTGGTGTTTTTTTTTCACTTGCTTGATTGTTTTTTTCCCTGAAGGTTTGAATATACATGCTATTTATATGGCTTCTTTATTCGTTACCAAACAAGCAGCTGTAACAGTGCAGATGTCTGAATCATCTCTAACGTTAGAAACAAGCAAGCAGAAATCCCCGAGCACAATCTGGTTTGGGTTAGATGTTAGAGCAATTTCTGCATAATGTAACATGCATTTAGCCTTGCATCTTGATTTTAACATTATTTTTTGTTGCTTTTTATGTGCTAAAATACTTCTCTGATGCACCACACTGTATGTCTAAGTGTTAAATGTAGCTTTTGGAGTTCATTCGGCTGGGGAAAATGCAGAGGGTGTTCTCCAGCCTTGTACCCAGCAGTCCCTGTGCTTCTGCCGTGCTCTGCAGGGCTCAGTGTGTTTTCCTTGCACAGGTTGTTAGGTCCCAGAGCAGTCTGACATGTCTGCCTCCATGGCTGCACACTGAGAAGGGATGGGCCCTATGAGAAAACAAGAGCAAAGTGCCAGGAGTATCAGTTGCAGCAGCACACCTGTGTTTTCTCTGTTTAATCTTTGCATTTATTACAAGAGGAACTTGTGGCAATCCTCACTATCTCAGATGGATGTTGGATTTGGGACACTGGAAATGATTCTCCTTACTTGACTGGTGGAGCTGAAAGGAGCACATTAAAGCAGGTGATGTTTTAACTAGGAGGGGTGAAGTCATGCCTGCAGATCCTGCTCCATATTCATATCCTTTGCTCCATAATTAACGGGAAAGAAATGATGCATACAAGTATGAAAGAAGTGCTGTTTGACATGATTTTTGACAGCTCATTCTGCAGTAGAAAGCATGCCTCCTTCGTACCACGTATCAGTCTGACTGGAAAATACTGCTTAGAGTTAAGTGCACAGGGCCTGTCCTCAGATAAGCACAATCATCTCCTGCTCGTTTCATGATATCTGAGTCTGAAACATTCTTTGCAGCAGTGTGGTCAAGGCCTAATTCTGCACTTGGATGTATGCATGCCATTTCCACTAGAGAAAGCAATGCACGGTGCAGGATGGTATTCTTGCTTAGCTACAATAACTGCTGACTGCATAAATAGCCCATCTGCCACTGCTGGAAAGTTCTGGTGTCTTTCTGAAGGCATTTGATGTAGAACTCTTTTTGTCTTGGCACATACTAGTATTAAGTCCTTCAGTCAACATCAGACCATTACTTTGGATATTCAACAACGGACACTGCTACTTGGTGCTCCTGAACTGCATTTATGGAACACTGTTTTATCAGAATTGTATTGCTTATTGTAGCAAGAGATTAAAATCACAGTTTAAAATAGGCAAATGTAAAAGCTTGCAAGACTGGGTCTACATGTGTGTCAAAATCAGGCAAAATCGCGTTATTTGCTGAGTAAATGAAGTGTCTGTTCAGGGAGGTGCAGCAGGAGGGCAGCAGCGTGGGCAGGCACTGCTGGCAGGCTGTGCCATGAGGGGGCAGCAGCCCCAGCCATGCGAGTTGCTGCGCTCTGGTCCATCATTGCAGAGCACTCTGAGTATTTTGACACGTTCCTAGTTGTGCTGGCAGCTTTCCTGCTGTAAAATACAGTTTGTTAATACACACAAAATCTGTTTTTATCTGTTTGTTTTGTCTTGAATTCCTTAGGAAATATATTTTTTTCTCAAGTGAATTCTCCTTTGTAGCTGGAAGTTCCTGTTTTGTTCAGTTGGTGCTGTTGTATATTTTATATGCATGTATATTAGGTAGTAGGGAAGCACACATTCCTCCAAAATAAATGTTTCTCTTTGTGCAGTTCAGACATACAGCTGATATTCAGATGGGAATGCTCTCAGAACACAACAGAAAGCCCAAATTTGACCCTAAATATTCCAGCCCTAGCTGCAGAAGTTATTTTAGTTGGCATATCTGTGATCTCAGACTGTTTAAGTAATCAAAATGAAAAGTCAAGAAAATCTAAGGGCACAAGGCCTTTGTCTTACAAAGCACTTGGGCACATTTATTAATCCTGAGGCAAACAGGATCACTCTGCTGCTGCTTCAGCCTCAGTGGCTGCTGTCCAGCTGCTCTGAGCACGTGGCATCCCATGCTTTGACTTTCCCCTCAGTCTTCACCAACAGCCATGCATAAAGAAGGTGGAGATGTGTTTTAGGGGATTGTCAGTGATATGCTCTTACTAAAGCTATGGGGATTTTGTCTGTGATTCTTGAAATCTGTAGCTTCATGCTGAAATAGAGCTGTTAAATAGCAGATGAGCATTAAGCTGTATCTTTTCTTCTAGCCTGAAACTTTTGAGCATCTTTTTGTCAAGCACCCTGAAGCAATGTCATTTGAGCCTCTTCTTCTGGAACCAGAAATAGTGCTGGAAGACATCAGTGTTATTAACGCTTTGAAACAAGAAGACACGCAAGATTTCTTAGCAATTGATTCCATGTTGACAAAAACTGAAGACTCTGAGCATGACTCTGCATGTCCCAGCAGCCATTTCAGTGGTTGCAGCTTCTCGGAGTGCTCCCCCAGTGCCCCGATCACTGCAGAAACAAGTCAGTCCAACATTAAGTATGCCACTGTTATCAGTAACTCTGGATCAGGTGGGCTTTACGAACAGAAGAAGAATCCCAGAAGTGGTTTCGATAGGTGTTTTCTAGCTGAAGACCCCTTGGCTGCAGGTGCTTCCTCAGGTAGCTCCTGGGAGCTGGGAAATGAGGAGTTCCTCCTGCTGCCTGACCAGGCTGGCAGCCGGCCCTGCAAGACCCTTTCCCTTATCTCTTCAGAGGGATTTTCAGAGCCTTCAGATCAGGATGATGCTTTCACAGAAGGAAGTAGTCCTGAGCAAGGTCTCTGTTACCTAGGGATAACATCACTGGACAAAAGAGAAAATGACATCTTTTTAACAGAAAGTTCCAGATTGATGTGCCATTTCCATACAGCTGATCTACTCAGAGGTGTGGGGTTTCTTCAGAATACACCTCCAAATTTAAATGCATTTCTCCAGAGCAGCATTAAAACCATCGTGCCATACGTGCCCCAGTTTCGGATAACTGCTGCCAAGGTGCAAGAGACCACAGAGAACAGCTGTTAAGCCCTCACGCCTTAATTTAATGCTCTTTATGGCTTTCTAAGTGTAGGTATGTGCCCTGTTTTTCCCTCTTAATTTCTTTTGGAAGGCTGGGTAGCTGATCCTGTGCTTGAGTGACAGGATTTTAGTAGGAAGAAATTCCCCTTTTTGACCTAATTTTAAAATGTGGGGCCTTTTTTAAATATAATTTATATATAAATATATTCAAAGGTTTTCTGTTGGCCATGCAGACCCAAGTATGTGTGTCTCTCCATTCAGGAGTAAAGTATCTCTTTATACACGTTGGCAGACTTTGAGTGAGCTTGCTCTTGTTCCAGGTGCTGTGTGGGGAGCCCAAGACAGAGAGACCTAATCCATAGTGTTAGTGAGGAGATTGATGTGGAATGTACTCAGATTTTGTCTGAGAGAGAAATTCACACATGGTGTGTCACTGGGGATGGTTTAGGGGGTGAATGCAGCAGGCTGAGCTCATCTGGATGTGCTGCAGCCACTGGACTCTTGTACTGCCTGGTTGTGGGGCACTGATGTGCACCTACCTGTGGTTCAGGAAACAAATACACAAGGAAAATTCACAACCACATACAGTTGTGAGGCCCCCTCTTGCCCCTCACACCCTGATGTACTGATGGCTTCACTGCTGTCTACAGTGAATAGAGCCTGCAGATACGCAGGTGGCCCAAATGAAAGAGCAGTCAGAGCCCTGCAGTTCAGTTATTGGAAAGAAGGCTGTGACCAATAGAGGTAAGCTTGTGGCTGTGTTCCTGTTGTCTCTTTTAAAGTAAAGTCTCTTTTAAAGCAAAAGCATCAAAGAGCTGTAATAGGGGCTGTGAGGTTGGAGGCATGTGCTGAACAGCCAGTGGTGTATAAAGGAGAAGTGGCTGAGGGCTGCAAGAGGAGGGGAATAAAAATTCTTGTGGCCCCATAACTGTGGGGCGTTACCTGGCTAAAGTGGAGTGCTTGGAAATGAAATAACCACATTATTGATGTTGAACACAAGATTCTGGTACGAATGGTATTGCAGTAGAGCTAATACTTCTTCCAAACCTATTCCATAAGAACCCACAGCAGAAATGGCAGTAACTTGATCCAGAAATCCTGTGTTTTATCTGCAGTGAGCTCGCCTGTCTGTATGGATGTGAGGAAGTCAGGTTGTTCCCAGGAGCCCTGCTGAGCTCAGCCAAAGGGTTTCAGCTGTGAGGAGGATCAGGTCCTGCATCCCAGTGGAACCTTCTGGGATACGCAGGTAAACAAACCCACAGTTTTGCAAGCCAAATATATTTTTTCTACTTTATAGTTGAGAAATATTTTTGTATACATACTTTTTTCAAAGATCTATTTTGGAAAGCTGTGACAGATGAAAATATTGTGTATTCCAAAGCTAAATTTATGTGAAACTTACTTAGGCAATGCAAAACACAAGGGCAAAATTTATCAACAACAATAAATAGTACAAGTGTGAACATGTATTAGTAATAGGAAATCTTGTGGAGCAAAAGGGACCAAAGCAAGTACATATTTGCACTTGAAGAAAAGCTTTGCAGAAAGCCCATGCTGCTCCTTCTCAAACAAACTGCTCACCTGGCTCTTGCTGGGTGTTTCCATCTCGGGTGCTGAATGTGACACAAATGTAATGTACTGGTGCAAAAAACACAGTATGTAGGAGGCAGCTGACCAGAACTCATTGCTTGGAAGCAGGACTGAAGGAAAAGCCTCAAGTCTTGAAAAGGAGGCTGTAGGGTGCAGCGGCCCTGTGGCAGATGCCACAAAGGCTGACTTGTGGCTGCTCAGCTGGAACGAACTGTGCTTTGGAAGGTGGCAGCAAGAGTGACACAAAGCTGCAGTTAGCAACCAGGAGAATGCTAAACTTAGAATCCACCTGAAGAAAGAAATTCCGTGCTGCTGGTGAACCTGATGTGGCACAGCTTCAATGTGCTGGGAGTGAGCTGTGCACCGCCCTGGGTGTGGATTCTGCTCTGTCCTCTGTCCTGTAGATTTGGCACCTGGCGAGGCCATGAGATGGGCAGAGTTCTGCTGCCCGCCTCCCTCCTCAGAGACTCTGCAGGGATTCTTTGTGCTGCAGCTGAATTTTGGGTAGACGACCCAGATTTTTGTGCTTCAGCCATCTGCTCTGCTCTACCTTGGGATGGGAAGGCACCAGGATTGCTTGAGATACGGTTTTGTCACTGCTGCTGCAGTACAGCTGTGCCTCCTCTGCCTGGAGGAACACCTCCCTGCCTGCTGCAGATCTCTCAGCTGGGAAGTGAGCAGTGCAGTGAAGCTCTCTGTAGACCAGAATAATAAAGGCATGGTTCATCACGAGCCTTGAGTCCCTTTAATTCTGCTTCCTGCAAAGTTTTCTTTCTTGAGAAATAGAAATTTACATTGATTTTATCACTGACCACTGTTAGCAAGTGCTCATCCACTAACCAAGGACAGGAGCAGTACAAAGCAAGGTAGCAGTCCATGGGGTGAGCCCCGGGGGCTTTCCTGGGCTCCAGGGATGGGACAGCTTTCCTGGGATGGGCACAGGGGAGGGCAGAAGATCCTGTCCCCTTTATGCAGCGCTGGTGTGGCTCAGAGCTGGAGGCAGAAGATGCTCTCTGCACAGAGGTGAGAGGATAGCAGTAGAATTCTATTTCTGGGAGCCCAGCCTGTCCTGAATGCCTCACTGCTGTCCCTGTCACTTTATTTCCTGATGGCTAGAGCAAGTGGTGCTCCATAAAAAGCCAAAGTTATGGTATGTCAGCAAAAGAAAACATGTGATGTATAATTAGTGTATGAGCAAGCAATTTAACCCCAGGTGCATTTCCTAAAGCAGTCTCAGCCTATGCCTCCAGCTCCCATGGTGCAGGTGAGCCTGGGTCCTGAGCAGTGTGTGTCTGTTTGTAAAGCTGCCTCTGGCATCTCCCCCTACACCAAAGGGACCTTTACTGCTGCTCTCAGCCTTCCTTCCCATCAGTGTCCAGCCTGTCCTGTGCCCCTCATCTGCTACCTCTGTGCTGCCTGGGGTGTCTAAGGTGGTCTAAGGCAAAGAGTGTTTGGGAAGCTGAGCAGAGCTGGGGCAGCTTTTTCTCACCATTACTCTCTCTCATTTTCAGGTCAACTTTTGTTTAACAGAGCCAAATGCCTCCTGTGCCACATCAGATTGCAGGGATTTTATTCTGTGTGCAGCAGCCTTCTGTTTCACTTTATGCAGGAGCAGAATCCCATTTGCCCACTGCAGGATGTGACAGTAGTAGCAGCAGCTGTCTGGGCTCAGGCATGTTGAGAGATGGCTGTGGAAGCACACCTGGGCAGCTGGGTTGGGCTCCTCCTGATCCACCTCTGCCTTTGCTGCAAGGAATTCTGTGTCAGTTCCCCTCGTGTACACTGCCAGTAAATGGGTCATTGTGCAGCTTTTTCCTCTATGCTTTTTTGCCATGGATCCATGGCAAGGAAAGGCCTTTTCAGTTTAGGCAGGAAAAGCAATTAGGAGGAGCCACGTGCAGCTTCAGGAGTACATATTAAGCTCTAACATTCACCTCTTGCAAATTAATTTTGAAGAGCATTCAAGAGCATAGCTCATTTATCTAAGAAAATGAATGGAGAGTGTTGCCATTCCTTTTACAGGTCATTTGCAGCCATAATTAAACACCCTTTTTTAGCACGATTGATGTGTGAAGCAGCAAGGAATTGTTTCCCATTTTGTACAGCTGTAGTTTGGTGTCTGTTGTTGAGTCACGCTCCGTCTCACCAGCCTCAGTTCTCCCAGTTTGTGTAAAACAGGCCCTGTGTTTTTCTTTTCCGCTTGCATAAACTGCAAACTAATTTCTGAATGTAGCTTTCACTGCTGGCGCTTTCGCTTCTGGAACATCAATCATTCTGTGATCCTGTGATAATTTACAGTGATAGTTTCCAGCTGAAGCCGAAACACAGCCTTCTACCAGTGTCAGAAGGATGTTCGTTGCTGGTGCCAGCACTGAATGGGGGTCTGGCTGACTGCACACAGTGTGCCAGCCCATCCTGCCCCTGCCTGCAGCTCCCTGGGGGGGAACGTTGGCCCCAGGCTGTTACTTACACTGGGAAACTGCGTGGAGCAGCGCCTTGCAGCTCACTGGGTTGGGACACGGGGAGGGCAGAGCTGCAGTGCGGGATGTGACTTTGCGTCACAGCTTCCCCCCTCCCTGCGGTCACAGCTGAGGATGGTTTGGGACAGAGGAAGGAGTGCTGTAGCATCAGGAACTTCTGCCCTATACAGGATGAGGGCGAAGAGAGTGAACAAAAATCCCCTGCCCCAGAGCAACCTGACAACTAAAAGCATTATCTGGCGGTGAATCACATCTGCTGATTATAAAGGCTTTTTCTTTATGACTGTGAGCGTTCTCTGAGCAAAAGAGAGCCAGGGCCCAGGGCTGGGCGCATGGAGCAGCTCCAGTGTGTGGCACTGTGGCAGCAGGGTGCAGGAGGGGTGCAAGCAGGGTGCAGGTGGGCTGCCCTCAGCTCGAGAAATCTGTTAGATTTAAAAATACAAAATGGAACAGTGTGTGCTTCCAACTGTTACCCAGGGTGTGCTTCTGCTGTGGATATTCCACTTCCTGCATTCCCTGTTGCAGAAGACCTCATTAAAATGCAGGTTTCTACTCCATCCTCCATCCTGTTGCTCTCCCAGCAACAGGAGTTAATTTTGTCCATCTGCAGTGCAATCATAGGGCCCGATGTGCAGAGATTTCTCTGCCGTGTGCTGGCAGAGCCCTGGTTCCCTGTGCCTGACCTCACACCCCCTGCTCCCACGGAACCACAGAATGCTTTGGGTTGGAAAGGACCTTTGGGCCCACCCTGCCCCGCTCTGCTTGGTTTTGGCAGGCATCATTAAAAAAAAAAAAGGGAATTGTCTGTGTGAGACTCTAATTAATTAGTACCCATCAGGAGCTTCTGCAAGAGCTGTCATTGGCAAAGCGGGGAAAGGCACCAAGAAACTCTCACTAGGAAATCTGCATCAGTCTCAATGGCTCATGAAATACTGCAGTGCCCTGCTGCTGGGGAGGGGATGGGAAAGCCAGTGCTGAAGGGAGGTGGAGGGAGGGGCTGCTGGGGGCTCCAGTGCTGCTGGGGGCTCCAGTGCTGCTGGGAAGCGTTAGGCAGCAAGCTGAGGGTGGAGCAGTGCACACCTGGTTGTGAAGTTGTCACCAGCAGCAATGCACAGTCACAGGCAGGTCACTTCTGAGCGCAAACAAGGCTCAAATCCTATCCCTGAAAGCTGTTTTTTAAACCATTTATCTATTTAAATCTGAGCATAAGGACAGTGGTCAGCACTGCACATCTGCCCAGGGGGTGGGGGATCACCGTCCCTGGGGGTGTTCCTGAGCTGTGGGGATGTGGCACTGAGGGATGTGGGCATGGGCTGGGGAAGCTGAGAGGGCTTCTCCAACCTGAGTGGTTCTATGATTCTATGACTTTATGCCAGTTAACAAACACAAAAGCTTTCTGGTGTTAGTTTTACAAAGCTGCTTCTCAGCAGAGAAACTCATTTCAGTATTGAAACGAGTGGCTGTCAGCTTGTCACTTTGTGAAGAAGAAGGAATGGGATGGGGAAGCCAAGGAACAGACTTGTTCTTCCCAAATCAGAGCTGGCAAAGCAGTGCTGGGAGATGTATGCATAGGTGGGCAGGAGACACTGCACAGGCTGGAGCTGCTGCTGGAAGGAAGCACTCAGAGACTCCTTCAAGCTTTAAACGATAATTAAAAATCTGGGCTAGAAGAATCTGGCAGTAAAACAATTATTTAGTCTTCTGCCTGCCTAATGTGAGGAGCAAGCTGCAGAGTGCTGATGCTGTTTTGGTAGAACAGCTTGCCATTGCTTGCCATCGCTCTGCTTCCAGCCGCGTGGCCATGAAAACAGCGGCTGAGAAACAGCGCCTGTCCAGAGCTGAACGGGGACACATCACCAGCACTCCTAAGGAAATGACAACTCTCTTCTAAAACAAAGCATCCCATGTAGAGTTTCATGGCTGCAGAGAGATTACTGCCTACAGCGGTACCTGAGGGATGCCTGCTGAGTTTGTGTTCAACCCACAGGATTTTGAAATGCGCTCTGAGGATATATGCCATGTTTTATTTGCCTTTTGTCTTATAAACGTGGGTCCCTTCTGCTCCTTTTCTGATGAGTTAGATATGAAAAGCGATGTTGAATTAGGAGCCCTGTCCTTATCACTGTGCGCTGACTAACATCCCATTTCCTGTCAGGGCTCTCAATAGATTGCTCTGTGAGCCACGTGGAGCTATTGAGCTGCGGCAGCCGCTCCTGCATTGGTGCATTAGTGAGGTTAGAACTGCATGAGCATTTGCAGAGATCTACATTCATCATATCTGGAGGTATATTTCAAAGCAAGTGCCGCTTTGTGACACTCTCAACGGGCCATTAAGGGGTGACGGTGGCCAGAAACACAAGGCAGGCTATTGGCAATGTCTGAGGCAAATGGGAAGGACATGGTGCTGGGAAGAAATGAGCTCTCAGCTTGCTCAGCTGTAATGAGCAAAGGAAGGAGAAATTCTGCTCTGATGCTGTAGACAGCATGGGGAAGAACAGGCTTGCCCCAATGCACCTGTAGCACCCAATGCTGAAGCCCTCCTTCCTGCCATCACCACCAGCCATCATCCAGCAGCTCTGGATTTCGCACTCCTCTGCGGCTGCTGTGCACAAAAAACACAGGGGGCTGCAGGGAGCGAGCGCTTCCTGGGCTGTCACGTGTGTGAGCAAAACAAACCATTAGAACTGGGTTTAAATGCAGCACCCAGCTCACAGCCTCCCTCTTGTCCTGCCTGCTGTCAGCGTGGCACAGACAGTTTGCATTCACTGCTCTAAGCAGCTGTTGTTTATTTGATCATGTTTCCGTCTACCTTGTTTTTGTTGTATCAGCTACTGCCAGGCTAAAACACAGAAGGTTTTGTTTTCTTTTAATTGGATCTGGTTTTTATAGGTAAAATGCGGTGCGTGGTATCTTGACTGAATCAGGCACATATTTTGGAAGTGATTTTCTAAATCTTACCAGTGAAAAATCTAGATGCAAACAAGAGAGGAAGATAAGACCTTATCTTTGTAAGCCTCCTTATGTGCAGGAAAATCACCTCCATGTGCCTCTATCAGATTAAACCTGCAGCTCGCGTGGCTGTCCTCTGTAGCCACACAATTACAGACAGCCCCGCTGTGTGTGCTTGTGTTTGCTCACCGTGTCACTGTGCCAAGGTGAAGGTGAAGCAGCGCTGAGGGCTTCAGGTGTCTGTGCATGAGATGAGCTCGCTGGGGCTGCACTCAGATTCGTGGCTCCATATGCAGGCAGGCAAAGGCAGGAACGCCTCGTGGAGAATAAGCTGGGGATGAGCTGCAGGAAAAGAGCAAAGAGAAACACCTTAATGAACACTGAATGGTGGCAAAGGGTGCTCTGTTCTGACTGCAGCAAGTAAGGCAGAGGGTACAGACAGCTGCCGCTGGTTTGTGCCCTACTGGTGATGTGGTGTGAGCCAGAAGAGGAAAAGCAGAAGGCTCCACTCCTGTAAAGGCTGCGATCCCTCTGGAGAACCAAATGCAATCAGTCAAGGTGAACACCTGGAGGAAGGCACAAGAAGCACAGGAGCACAGGTAGGCAGCAGAAAGGACCACGTGTTCCCTGCTGCTCAGTTTATCTTGAGAAAAACGCAGCAATGTACAAATGGAATTGTAGCCCTTAATATGCAATTTGAAGCCATCTGTACCTCAGGGCTGATAAAAAGGCACTGGGAGCTGAAGGTGTCACCCAGACACCTTATGGACTGCTGAGATAAAAGAAATGCCACAGACTGGCAGACAGACATCTGTCTAACTGCACACTTCCTGATCAAGACAAGAAAAAGGAAGCCAAAGTCTGCAGAGGTGCTGGTTTCATTCCTTGTGGCAGCGTGAAAGATGGGATGACACTGCTGTAGGTGTCTCTGTATCTGATAGAGTGACTCTGATGTGGCTTTTGTCATCTTCACTGGTAGGAAAAAAAAAAACAAATAGCTTTGCAAGGTGAGAGAACTTATGAGAGGTGGAAAGAGAAGGTGAGGGGTTGGTGAAAGCTGCAGGCACTGAGCGTGCATCTGGCTGCCCCTGGCCTGCACCCAGTGCTGTGTCAGTTACGTCTGCTGATGATTCACAGAGAAACAGCACTGAGAACATACAGTGGGCACCAGCACTGCTGATAAGCATCGTCTGCTGGCACACACTTCTTCCCAGCACATCCATCCTCACTATAAATGATCTGAGAGCACAGATCATGCAGTGAACTGGCACAGGGTGCTGAGGGCATCCACAGGTCCCCACAGCCCTGGGCAGCCCCACCTGTGCCCCCACCTGCAGTGCTCAGCTCCCAGCCGAGCAGTGCTGGGGGCACCTGTACAGCCACATACCCACCTGCACAGTGCTCAGCCTCATCTGGCCAGGGCACAGCTGCCTCGTGGGGCTGGGGCTTGGAAAGCTGCCTGGGGGAACAGTGAGAGGAACGAGGAGCCCATCAGAACAGACACAAAGCACATAAAGTGCAATAGCCGATTTGTTGAGGGTTTTTTTTTTTTTTTGGATGATTTAAAATGGTTTCTCTTAGGCAGCTGTAAGGAAATGGTATGCAGAACAGATGATTTGGATGAATATACATCCAGTTCAGGTTGGTGCTTTGCCAAGACCCTGCCAGAAAAAATACTCTGTGAGCAGAATTGTGAATAGCTGAGGTGGGCAGGGCCCTGGGGATGGCTCCAGGCAGCAGCTAGAGCAGCATGCCCTCTGGTTCTGAGAGCTGGATGAGTTGGAGGTATAATTTACACAGACATTCCTTTCTATGGAGAATAGCTTGTATAAGCATCATCACTGGGGATTTCCACGATTGATGTGGGAACAGAATGTCCCACTGAGGGAATGGGATGAATTTTTTTCAACCATTTGTGGTTGAAAAAGGTATCTGTTACGGATAAATACCTCAATCCTGTGTTTTATAGTAGTGTTGACCCATAACATTTGTTCCAAAGTAAACCTGTTTCCCTATTCCATGCAAAATATTAATGTTTAATTACACGAAGGGGCTGAATACTGACACTTTGCAAGAACAGCCATTTCCCAGTGGATGAAGAATGCCAGCTTCCGTGTCAGGGCGTTATTATTTGCGTGTTACATCTATTGCTTGTGATCAGACTGGTGTACTGGATGGATCTTTGGCTGGTTCCTTTGTGAAATACCAGGGCCTTCCAGCCTTGTCTCTTATGCAAGATGTCTGTGGCTATTTTTTCCACAGAATTCATCACCATCTAGCCAGCAGAGCAGTCCTCCCTCCCACAGCTCCATAAACTGGGCTGGATGCATCAGCACCGGGAGTTTAGGCTGGCAGCCAGTGAGCCCTCACCAAGAGGATTAGCTATTCTGCTGCAGGTTTCCCTGCCATGTCAGCTGTGAGCCCAGCCCTGGCTCTCCATTTTCCCCTCTCAGGGATTTGGATGCTCACGGAGGGCTGGGCTGGCTGATTCAGCTCCGTGTCTGACAGCGCTCTCACCAATGCTGGGTGGCTGAGGGGGAGGAAGAGGAGTGCAGTGCCCTACTGATGGCTGTAAGCAGCCAAACCACAGAGAAGCTGCAGAACACTGAATGGTGTCAGCTCCTTCCCTTCTGAACACTGTGCCTGAAAGAAACAGCCTTGTCCTGTCCTCTGTGCTAAGGGTTGTCCCCCAACCCTCACAAACCGGCCCTCTGGGTGCAGCACTCAGGGCACTGCCTTTTGGTCCCACCATGGAAGCAGCTGCTGACTCTGGAATGGAAGGGAATACTCAGCTTTTCCAGAGCAGGGCATAATAGAACCCACCTCCCTATGATTTCTGCAATAAC